CTGCTGGGCCTTGTCCCTCTCATCCCTGCTGTCAACGCCCAAAAGCAGATGAGGGGAGTGCTGCTTACAAGTCTCTCCTCAGAGCGGGCTGCACCAGTCAGACCCTGCCGGTGTGAAGGACAAAGAAAGCATTTGTAACTTCACTCACACGTCCAGCAGACTGGCTGTCTTCTGCTCCTTACCTGCTGCCTGACATGTTCACTAAGCAGATGACCTAGACGTGTGGCATCCTTCCCAAGACCTTCTCCACTCTGATGACCACCATCTCCATGTTCAGTCACAAATAGGGGACAAATACCTTCATCTCTGATATTTTGAGCCCTGACATTTTTTTCTCTTCCTGTAGCCTTTCACTTTCCCTGTCTCCAACTTGCCAAATCTGTTCTCTACCTCAGCTACACTTTCATGAGTCGCCTCCATCTCCCCCCATGGGCCTCAGGAGACCACTTACTCTTACCTACTTATCTCACAGGCAACCACCCATGGAAGTGAATTCCACAACCCACGGCCGCCTCCTCGGGACTGCCGCCCAGCATCCTGGTTGTCACCTCATGAAGGACTCTGCTAGAAGCTCCCAGGCAGGCACTCCCAGAGCCCTGGGAAACTGAGGATTACATTGATTGGCTACCAAGTTTTGAGATAACTTTTTACACACAATAGGCAACACAGACTATGGAACCAAAAGAGAGCTTCTTGATATAACAAAATCCTAAAAATGTGGGAGCTTTCAAACCAGGCAGAGGACAGAAGCGTTAAGAACTTAGGAATTAGTGAAAACATAACAGGGCCTTTGTAGACAGTTAATGAAGCCTGACAGACCTTGAAGAAACTAAGTAAATGTTCCCTGTGCTTCTCCCTGTTAAACCAGAAGTGTTAGCTTTTTATATTTTTTTGGTAATGGAGCTTGAACCCAGTGCTTTGCACATACTTGACAAATGTTTTTCTACTGATTTATAACCCCAGTTAATTTTTTTTTTTAGATAGTATCTCACTAAATTGCTCCACTTGGCCAAAAATTTGCAATCCTCTTGATTCAGCCTTCCAAATAGCTGGACTTATAGGCACACACCACCACATGCAGCAAATCCTGACTCCTGCTGTGGAAAAGTAATTCAGTATTGTCGCTAAGGGCAAAGGCTTTGAGGCCTTATTGCCTTGACTTGAATCCTGGCTCCCATATCCTATGTAATATTGGGCAAAGCTAAGCTAACTTCTTCATGCTTCAATTTCCCTCTCTGAATTGCTAAATAAGTTTACTCTACAACATACAAACTTGTTTTGTTGTGAAACAGGTTCTCACTATATAGTGCAGGCTGGCCTCAAACCCCCAGCAATCCTCCTGCCTCAGCCTCTTGAGTGCTGGGCTTACGGGCATGCACCATCACACCCAGTATTCTACATAAATTTCAAAGGGTTCAGGCTTGTGTGTCTCATGCCAGGATTGGTTGAGAATCTGCAAACCAAGACTGGGGTAGAAGCCAAGGGATAGCACCTTAAATAGCTAAGCATAAAGTGCTGGACTTTGCCTTTGGGGTAGTGTTCTTAAGGTGTGGAACAATGGTCTCAGGTCCTCTGGTATACTTACTTAAAATGCTGGGCCCAACCTTCTGTGAGTGATTCAGGAATTCTGAAGGAGAACAGAAATCTATTTTATCTAGGCATTTTATAGATGATACTTTTGAAGGTTTTTTTTGGGGGGGGGGTTGTTTTTTGTTTTTTGATTTTGGTTTTTTGTTCGTTTTGCTTTTTCAGGATCTTGCTCTGTAATTAAGGCAGTCTTAAAACTCACTATGTAGCCCAGGCTAGCCTCAAACTCACAACGATCTCCTACCCTATCCTCCTGGTATAACAGGTGTGCACCACTACACTGGGCTAGATTCTTGTGTACACTATTGCTTAAGAATCGTTACTCAACACAGGTGCCTGTCTGGTGAACGCAAGGTCCTGAGTCTGATCCCCATAATCGAAAAAATAAAAATTACTCAAGAAGGAGTTTCTTAACTAAAATATTAATGTCTTTGATTCTATTTTATGTTTAAAGTTAAATGTTTCTATTCTCTATAACAAATTCACTTTTAATTCATAAACAAACTATAGTAAGTAATATGCATTACCTGCCACTGAGTAAAATCAAGTCTCCTGAAAGATATGCTTACATTACCCGGGAGTTGGGGATCTCACAGGCATGTCTACATAAGCCCGTGAGGCTTTTGTGACAAACATCAACCCACTTTACTTTTAGCACTGGGTTTGTCAAGTACCATCAGCATAGTTAGTATACTTGGATATTTCATCCTCATTCTCCTGCTCCACTAGTAACTGAGACTCTGTACCTCAAAGACTGAGAAGTTTAAAATTACATTTCCACCAAACCTTGAGGAGACAGGGGAGGCAGAAGTGAGTGAAAGCCGTTACCTACTGCAATGGTTTGTTCTGCTAAGTCACATTAAGGTGAGGCCAGGTTTTTCCGAATTAACTGTCAACATTTACCAATTTATGGCCAATCTCACTGCACTAAGTACCTCTAGGCACTTCCTCCCTCTTATTTTGAAATAGTCTCAACTGCATTTTATGCACATTTTACATCATGTATCCTTTAGTCTTTAAAATAACATTCCCCAAAACAATAGTTCTTTAATATAAATATCCAATCAATGTTCACATTGCCTATTATCTTTTACTTTATTCGGAGTTGCCTTGTTCTGTTTCATTTTTGCTGAACCAATACCTAAACAAGGTGCACAAACCGCAATGATTGATGATGCCCAAGTCTTAATGTGTATGTAATTCCTTCGCTAGTGTCATCCTTTTCTTTGTAATTGTGTATAGAGATAGCACATTGCTTAGTTTCCCACCATCTCTTTTGGTGATTGTATCCCAACAGTGGTACTTAACATTCTGTAAATTTCTCCTGTAATTCCTAGAAATTGATCACTGGATTTACAGTTGATCAAATTTAATTTCCAAGATGAAGGTATATAATCTCTGAAGAGACTGGCATTTGCCCCTCCCAGGCAGCCAATGATGACATTAGCAGGCTGCAACCTCTTTAAACTCAATTGATGGCTTGAAGACTTTTTTTCCTATCCTTGGGTTAGGTGACTTTGGGTTGATAATCTGTGAAAGCCATTAATGGTACCATATCATGCTTTTGTTTTTGTTAGTCTCTTGCTCTCTCAGTGCCAAAGCAATATTCCTCACACTCCAGAGCAAAATTATTTATCCTCATCCTGATACTGAAGCCCTCTAGGATGTCAGCTTTTACAAGGGGCCTTTCATTAGTCTCCAAGTCTGCTAGCCTTTGTCTTTTGTCTCAGTAGCCAAAGCTAAAGAGTGGAGAACAGAGGCTCCTTTGGCAAAAATGCCTCCAAAGTTTCACTTTGACTTTTGGGACAAAACCACCCAGAATTTTTAGTTTTCCCCAACTTCCCCAGTGGAAGCATCAGTCTGAGTAACTAGTAACACACATTCAATACATATAGGCAATAACTGTAAACTGAAGCCCATTTCATCAGGTTGGTAACTAAGAGCACTTAAGTATTTAAAGTCAAAACACAGACAACTGTGATTCCTTTTTATTATCACAGTATATGGAAGTTATCAACAAAGATCTGACGAAGGAATGTATTAAGAGCTACAAAGAGAAGACCCAACTTCACATTATTTGTATATCATGATAAAACATGATTTGGCAGACTTCTATTCATTCTCCTAATATTCATTCTCTTTCCTTAACAACAGGACACCTGTATTTTAGCTAAACTCATGGCAGTGTGAAACAACTTCCCAGCCTCCCCTGCAGCTAGCTGTGACCACATGACTAAGTTCTGGCCAACAGAATGTAAGCTGAAATGTCCTATGGAAGCTTCTAAAAATGCATGGTCTTTAAGACCACTGGGCCTTATCACCAGCTCCTTTTCTTTGTCCTTCCTTCAAGAGAATGTAGATGTGATGGTTAGAGCTTCAGCCACCCATCTTAGCCTACAAACATGAGTGTCATACCCTGGATATGGCAGAATAGTAAGCTACAAGAATCCTAAATTCCCAAAAACTTCATGGAGAACAGCATTCTTATCAGTCCTGGATTATCTCTGGGATAAAAGAAAAATAAACCTTTTGCCAGTTGTATTTGGAGTTTCCCAAAATGCCAGGTTTCTTTGGACAAAGAAGGAAGCCAGTCTCACAGATTGCAGATATTCACAGATACATTCTGTGCAGCCACATATCTGCACAGGAAATGTTACTCATTTTTAAGTAACTCTTCTGACTCTTATGATTAGAGTCAGCCGCTGTATTGTAGGAGTCAGAGAGCCTAAGCTGGAGTTGCATCTCTGTTACTTTCTCTATGTTACATATTTTTATCCATTAAATTTGGAAAGCTGCATCTATGTAATAACTCTCTTGGGATTAAAAATAAAACGTATATGAAAGTATTCCCACAGTAAAAATTACTATGCTCATAACAGTTGGTGAGAACCATTACAGTATAAGATACCTGCGGAGAAAAGCTGTCTCACACTATGTCCCCAGTAATAAAAGCTCAATAAATACTTACTGAAAAAATATATTAAGTTCTTTCTAAGTGAGTGAATTATTCTGCTTTTTTGAACTGAATAAGGTCCTTAATATTATTTAAGGAAGAAATACTCAGGGCCAAGGATGGAGTTCAGAGGCACAGCCCCGCCCGGCAGGTCTAAGGCCCTGGGTTAGAGTCCTGCCACAAAAAAAAAAAAAAAAAAAAAAAAAGAATTACTCAAATTCCTAAAGACACAACTGTAAATTTTGACATCAGTCAAAAGACACAGGATGTAAAGAAAGAAGACTTAGCTAACCCATTTACCTAGGTCAAAAGTCAATCACCATTTGCTACACCAAAATAAACTGAAAGCTGTGGTATGGAAATGCAAATTTTATGACCCGTTTTCCCTCAGTTACAAAGTCGCATGAGAAAAAGTCACTATAACCTGCTACTTCAAACAAAGTATTTCCTCACACTGGACTGTGATTAAAGTATTTTATTAAATTAAATGTATGATCTGCAAATGTCTTTGTAAGAAATTTAAAAGCAAAATTACAAATATTTTCAATAAAAAAGTACAAGAATTAACAGCAAAATTACACTTTCTTTATAGTACAAATAGAAGTATTTTGTTTCTGACATATGATCTAAAAATTTTATAATATATTCTCTAACAGCTGCAATGTTACATTTTAATGAGAAGTCTCAATGTTAATTTAGTTATTTATTATTAACAGGTTCATCATTTGGACCCTAAAAGTCAATTCAACTTTAAGGAAAATAATAAACTCTGTCATCATACAGCATGAAGTTACAAAAGGCTCTTGAGTACGCAGGCATCTTCCAGCTTTGTTTCTCTATTAAATTCTGTAAAAAGGCATTAATACTGTAAACCAATTACATTTTTAAAATAAGCACCATTAATATATACTCTATATAAACTTACTTTACCTTATAAATGACACTCCTTTGTCCACACAAACATTTAAATCTGTTTCCTTTACAGGTAAATAAAAATAAGCAGTCTATTACCACCACACAGAAATATTATCAAACTTCATTGCACAACAGAAAGCATGTAGAAAAAACATTTGGAAAAAACAGTACAAATTATTTTTGTCATTTTCTTAATATGACAGCAGTTAAAACATTGTCAGAACAATTTCCTGAGTTTCAAAATTTGCCCATTTCCAGCTCAGAACAGGTAATCTTATTACTAAATGAGTCCTTTCTCTAAGCACACAAAACATTTGAATTTTAAAAGAAAAAGATGAAAATAAAAGGATAAGAAACTACCCAAAAGAACTGTGAGCTTTTCTTCTCAAAAGATGTTATAATACACAAAACATTTTAGTATTTCTACTATATAGTATGTACTGATGCAAAAATCATAGAATTGCAAATAGTATAGAAATGCTGATAAACAGAAACTTCAATTTGAAAATAACATGGATTTGAAAATAACATGGAGAGATATAAACATCCAATAAATGCATGATAACATGCTTCCATTTCTCACATTGGGCTAAGGAGATGGATAGATTGAGAACACTTAAAAAGTGACTCCTTGCCCATCTCTATAACCCTTGAGGCTTCCATAGCAGTTCTTTTTTCCTCTGGTAGACAATTGTAAGAGACTATTCAATGGATGTAACTGTTAGTAAAATCTTCCAAACTACAGAAGTTCTGTACTTTTAAAATACTAAATTTATCAACAGATGTTCTAGTAAATCACATACTGGAACAAATACACCAATACATGAAATCTTGTAAAGTCTCCAAACTATCACTGCCTCTTAGATAATGGCCAAAAGAAAAAACGAGGGGTTCTAAATCTTTCTTTCATAATTATGTGCTGTTTAAACTATACTAGATAGTTGGGTCTGAGGCAGGTTAGGACTTCATAAGAATTTATATGGTGCTCAGACTTCACTTATATATTCATGAATAATGCTACCAGATTTATCAAAACAAGACTTATACTTGATGCTGACACAGTAGAAAGTAAGGTTCTTTCAAATAGCCTAACCCCGTTTCTCTGGACTGCTTTCCTGTGAGTTATAATCACAATACTGAAGCCTAGCTGAAATACTCAAATACGTATTTTTAAACCAGTTAAGAAATATAAAAAACACAGAAAATGAGTATGCAGCTACACACATTCCAGAAACTCCAGGTTTTAGTATTTTTTCATATATTTTAAACCATATTAATTTATACAATTTTACTTCATTAACTAATGATTATAATTTTGTAAAAAGTCAGTAACTTATTTTTAATGTATATACTTTTAAAGATTATTTTAAAGTGTGCTAAATTCCTGTTAACAAATTATTACAAACACAAAAATGTAAATAATACTCCAATACCATTAATAAGCCGTTTCTAAATAATAAACATATTCTTATTTTTGTGGAAATAAAATTCAGTAAGGCTCTCCATTTAAAAGCATGCGTGCACTGATGAAATATAAAAATATGAATCTTTGAGTTTTGTTTTTATTAAACTGTTTGTCCTTTTGGGAAATCACTTGTGCAGTTCAGGAATTCTTTCAGTAATAGCTCAATGAATCCTACCATTCCCAATGCAAATAATTTTTCGGTTTATTGAGAGAGGGTCTCACTACGTTGGCTAGACTCGGCCTTGAACTCGAAATGATCCTCAAATTCACAAGTAAGTTTTTAAACTAATGAAAAAAAAATACAATTTTTTGCTGAAACTGTATAAGTTGGAAGTATCTATACATCCAAAATAAAAATTTAGCCATTATCTCATACTGAAAAATTACTTTCCCACAATAAATTTGTGTAAAGGAAACTAATTTAAATAATAATCAGATCCACTAGCTAACAGAATGATAAGAAGTCAATGACAATTTTCTTTCAGAAAGTTGGATCCTTTTCAAAACACAAGAAAAATTTTTATTAATTTGTACAGATTCCTATTATATGAGTGTTTTCTGGTTTTTTAATAGGATTTTGATCTATAGTGTAGAAATCACATGCCTCACATATATCGTTATTTAGCACCGCCTGAAATGTCTCTTACACAGACAGTCCTAGTTCTAAGGCAGCAGCACGTTTCATATTTCACCATTTTTTCCCTGAAAACTTTTCTGCCTATGAAAGACACAAACTGCAACACAATCACAGACCTAACTTTCCTCAAGAAAAATGCACAGGGACAAAAGGCAAGAGATTAAGATCACATATACAAAACAGAAAAAGTGCAACAGTGTATCTTCCTTTCTGCAGCATATTATGGCATGATGGTATGATTTCATGTTTGGCTTTGAAAGCAAAAAAAGTATTCAAGTATTTTTTTTGTTACATTTTTTTTTCTTCAATTCTATTACCCTTTGAATGCAGCCCTCTGAAGGGCATGAACACCCAGAGAAGCCTTTATGACTTCACTTAAAACACACACACACACACACACACACACACACGTACGTACGTAGGCTGTTCGGAGAATCAGAGCATTTCAGACCTTAAAACGGCAGCTGCTTTCTTAGATATTTTGTAATCAATAAAAATTCTCTTGAATATTCTTTACAGTTAAAAATTATTTGGCTTTGATTCAATAAAAAAATTAAACTTCTCTTGAATTTCAGAAAAATTTGACTTATAAATGGATATTATTTCTAGTAAAACACGTTTAGAACAGAATTGACTGAATTATTGCAAATAAAATTAATTTTAACCTACAAACCTCCACACTTTTAAGTCAAGGACGTTTATTTTACTTTAACATGACTTTCAAGCACCCTGGTTTAATTTCAGAGAACCTGTGGAAATGAGAAAAAAGTTGTTTAAAAAACAAAAATTTTCAAATTGACTAACAAATATTCCTTTAATTGATTCTAAGTGCCTATGTTTAAAATAATATTTACTGCTGGAGATTTAGCTCGGCGGCATAAGTGTCTACCTTGCAAGCATGCAATCTTGAGTCCGATCCCCAGTGCCAAAAAAAAAAAATTTTTTTTTACTATGAAAGTACTCTCCTTTATTAAAATCGAGGACCAATTTTACCACATGCTTATGTTCCATTTACTCAACTGTCAGGTCACATACAGTCCCCAGGTTCAGGGTTACCCCTGACTCAGTGAGTACTAATACAGTATTAAGATTCTTCAAAACCTCTTCCCTGATCCATAAAGTCTGCTTGCTATATGAGGGACAAAATGGTATTTGCACTGTAATGCTTCTGTGCATCAAGAAAAACATCTGATACAGATGACAAGCCTGATTCCTCTGGCCTTGCAACATTTTCAGCTCTCTTAATATAAAATGCCAAGGAACACTACTCTCTGAAATAGATCATTAATCTCTGTATGATAATGTTCTGATATAACTACTACTTGTATAAAAAATCCCTAAAATGTCATCAGTTTTTGTGTTCAGTATTAATGCTACCATTTTCTAAATGTAGATAAGTAACATTTTGTTACATAGCATTAAAAAAGTTGTGAAAATAAAATAGGCTACCATAACTGAAACTGGAAGGAAGAGGGAATTTAAAGATACACACGGGAACTTATTCATCAGCAGGTCTTTAACCTTAGACTTTTTTTATAATTTTGTTACTGAATAGTAACACAATGGAAAAGGCTATTTCATGTCTACAGTAAAAGATCATTAATGGCATTTATGGCATTTAACTTATAAAGTTAAAATCATAAATTCATATGAACGGAAATGTTTCAACTAAAGCATAAACTCATTAAACTACAGCTATCTTTCAGCAAGTCCCCCAATTCTACACAAAAACCCAGTTTCTTCTTTCAAATGAGTTATAACAAATCTTAAATTATGATACATTGAATCTATCTTTGATAATATGCATTATCAAAAGAACATATAGTGAAATTTTTTATAATTTTAAAATTATGACAGTTTTATTCAATGATTCTTTTTTTCCATTAAAGTTTTTAATTGTAGTCACACATCAAAGTGTTTTAACAAACATTTTCTATTTCTGGTTTGCTATACAGTACACATATAGTAGGAAAAAGTTGTATCATATTTTAAACATGAACTTGTGGCTGAAATCAGATGGCTTAATTTAGTTGACTACTTTGACAAAGTTCTGAGCATACTGTTAGTGTTCACTTAGCCACATGCAGACAGTTGCCATTCTTGATACTAGAAATCTATACTCACCTGTAACTATGGCTTGTGAGGTATTTAATGACAGCTGGTTTGATGCGCGCAACTCCTCCCTGGCTGTGGTTTCCTCTCCCCGTAATTACAGAAAGATAGTTCTTACCACCATTCTGCTTAAACTCTGTTACAACAAGAATTGTGACAGTTAAAATGACTCCTTACATTCTCAACAGAAAACATACTGTAACCAGTCAAATGTGTACAAAATTGGTTTTATGAACATTTAGAGCCTTATTACCTCAAAAAGCCTAATGAATGTTTTGAAATGTATTATTTTAAAATGCACAAAGCCTTACAGCAATCTGTCCATCTAAAAACTTCAGAGGGACATTCCCTACTGTGAGGAAGGAGATATTCATGCACTATCAGAAGTTCTCCCTACAGTGATGATGACAATAACAAAATTTATAACACCTAACAATTACATACCGTGGACACAGGCATTGCTTGAAATGAATTATACTTAAGAAATAAGAAATTTTCACAACTCTATTAAGTACTCTGAAGCCAGCCAGCTTTAAAGTCACTGCCCTGCCACTAAATGACTGTGACCATGAACAGTATTTATAGCTTCGTGGTGCCATTTTCCTCATAAAGAAATGGAGTAATAACAAAAATTACTTTGTAGTCCATCCCCTCAGAAATGGCTGTCAGCAAATCCAGTAATTGAAGACTGAAACACCATCCTACTGTTAAAGATGATCAATTGTTAGCCTAAGAAATGCTCCCTGATAGAGAACTATTAAAATCTGAATGACCCTGAGTCTCTTGGAAGACTACAGTTTGTACTTTGAATATTACTTTGGGAAAGTCAATAGATACAGTTTGAATTTAATAACAAATAACAATAACAAGCCAGGCATCGTGGCACACACCTGTGATTTCAACACTTGAGAGTCTAAGACAGTAGAATCATTGCATGCTTGAGGATAAACTGGGCTATAAACTGAGTGTAAGGCCAGCTTGAACTGCATAGCGAGAATCTGTCTCAAAAAGACCAAAAAGGCTCACACACAAAAATAACAAATGAATTTAATAAACAGCTATCCTCATTCATAAACAGCCCAAGTTTTTATCTTTAGCATAAAATATGCACCCCATAGAACCTAAGCACTCCATATTTTGCTCACCAAATTGTGGTTATACGCCTGGAGAATCAAACAGATAGTTTTTAAAGCCTCATTATCTCCAGGGTAATATTCAGCTTGAAGTTGTAAAAGACTCTATGTTCCTGCATTTCTAACTCCTTATTTTTGCTTAAGATCTACATTTTCACTATAGTCTATTTTCACTCTAGTTAAAAAGGTTTGCTCTATAAACTTATAAATTATGCATTGTTGTTTACATTTGGCATACCATAAATAAGTTTAACTACCAAAAAGCAACTCTCCTAGCCATAATTTACCCCCATCACTCCTTCACTACTGCTCCCCAGGTGGTTCACATGCCTCACACAGGGTACGAGTTCAAATTTGTAGCATGGGTTAACTGGTGTTCAGTTTCCCAAAGCACAGCTGTTCTTGCTGTTCATTACCAATAGAGAGTTATAGGGAAAGAACCCTATAACTCCTTTTTTTTTTTTTTTTGTCTTTTTCCTTTTTATTGGTACCAGGGATTGAACTCACGACTGCCTGCTTACAAGGCAGGTGCTTATGCCACTGAGCTAAATCCCCAGCCCCTTATAACTCATTTTTAAGAGTACTCCAGATTTTTTATTATTTAAACTGCAAATATTTCAGTATGTATCTCAAAAAGGACTCCTAAAAAAATAAAACAAACATAACCACCAACCATGTGGACTGGTGTATACCTATAGTTCTAACACCTGGGAGGTTGAGGCAGGAGGATCACTTGAGCCCAGGAGTTCAAGACCAATCTGGGCAACACAATGAAAGCCCATCTCAAAAAACAAAAACAAAAACCATAACCACAATAACACCACCTTACAAAATTAACAATGGTTTCTTAATATCAGTTTTTAAAAATATCCAATTATCTAAAAAAAATTAAACTGGGTGTTGTGGCACATGCTTGTAATACTAGGACTTGGGAAGCTGAGGCAGGAGGACTGCTACAAGTTCAAGGGCAGCCTGGGCTGCTAGTGAGTTCAATGTCACCCTAAACTATACATTAAGACTGCCTCAAAAAAACTAAGAAAAAGAGACGACTTCCAGAAGAACATGGCGGATAGACAGCAGCTGCTATGGAGGGTCTCTGAGATACCCCGCTTAAAATCCTGGAATGGTGCAGTACGAGGAGTCCTAAGCAAGGGGAGATACACCCTGCCGACCCAGGAATGAACTAAGCTGAGAGAAACCAACTGGAAATCCAATCCTGGTGCTATAACAGGAGCAGAAGCTAGAACCCGCGCCACTGGAAGCCACGATTTGAATTTCCTGCTGCCGCTGCTGCATCCAAATCTGCAGGGCAGGGAGAGAGACACGCGAAAGCTCTGAGACCGGGAATCTGCGAACTGAGTTGAAAGGACTAGCAGGGAGCCCTACGTAGACTTGCGCAAATTACAAAACATTCCACAGCTCAGATTTTCCAGGAAGGAATTCAGACAGGTAGACACTCAGAAATATACATGGAAGAAAAGGCGGAAGGTGATGGTGGCAGGTGTTAAAGGAGATGGTTGCGGATCCTTATACCCTCTCGACTAGTGTGTATGTTTGAAATCTTGCACAACAATAATTTTGTCCCACTTTGCCCAAGTGCTAGGTAGAAAGACACAACCCAGCCAGTCCCAGCACAGGGCCTGCAGTGGCAGGTCTCCAAACCATTACCAACAACCCTTGGAGGAGAAAACGCACCCAGAAGACCCCCGTGGGAGTGACTTAGCCTCACTCTTCGCAGGTCTCCTGGGCCAGGTGATATGTCCCAGCGCCCAGCCTCTCCTTGGCCCAAGTATGGAGGCGGACAGTTCTTCGGGGCCACTTCCCCTCCACTACGCACACCAGGGCTCTCAGCTGGCACCCGTCCCAGAACTACCTAGCAACAACAGCTGCCCAAGGGGAGGCATATCTTCAGGGAACAAAACAGAAAACTGCACAAAAACACTCAGGGAAGCTAAAGTAGGTGGGTTGTTAAATTGGTAACTACAGTATAATAAAGGAGCTTAAAATTTTAAAAAAAAAAACTAAGAAAAATGAATTTCAAAAATTAAGCGGTTTGTTTGTATAAAGGTTGAAATAAAACCCATACTGTAGAATTTGTGAAAATCAGTCTGGAAAAACCCATTTGGGAGCCCTCCTGTCTCTCAGAGATGATCCTATTCCCCATTCCTTTTCTCCAAATCATTTTCCCATGCTTAAAAGAGAACAAAAGAAAGGAAAATCAGTATGAATTTCCTGATCATATTCCCATGGTGGTGTTTAACATGTTCTTCTGTCCCCTGTAATCCACTACGATACAGTATGTCAGATCTTAAGGCCTAATCAACATCTAGTCTGAATTTGAGGCAAAAGTATATTGTAGGTAATAATCCAAATCTCAATCACAAGACAAACAAGGTCTACTTTTCTATTCATCTCCAATTTTGAAAATCCTTTTATACTATGATTAAAAGCAACAAAGGACAGATCCATAAATTTTCCTCTGAAAAGGTTTCTATTCAACAATATCACCACCTGGTGGTGCTGGACAACAACTACAGGCTACATCAGGTGAGATGCAAGAGATGGACTTTGATTTGCAGAAACTGTCTCAGATGTACACAAGTATTATCTTGGCTAATTATTCATGCCTGTTTTTTTTTTCTTACAGTTTTTTATAAAGTTCATATCACAAAATTCACCATCTTTTACATGCACCATACAGAGGTTTTCAGTTTATTAACAGTGTTATACAACCAACACTACTGCTTCCAGAACATTTCCTTATTCAAAAAGGAATTCTAAGCCTATTAGCTGTCACTTCAAATACTCCACTTTTCAGCGCCAGGAATCAGAAATCTATTTTCTGTGGATTCACCTACTTGGACATTTCACATAACTGGAACTGTACAGTACATGGCTGTCATATCTGACTCCTTTCATGTAACAAGTTTACAAGGTTCAACCATGTCATAGCATGTATCAGTATTTCACTCTTTTTATGGCCAAAAAAAAGTTGCATTATGGATCTACCATTTTGCTTGTACACACACACACACACACACACACACACACGGGAATATTACTTTCTGATTTAAAAAAAAAAGAAAATATTATCACTTGTAAAAACATGGATGAACATGTATGGCATTATGCTACTTGAAATAAGGAAACTGAAGAGAAATATCGCAAGACCTCACCTCTACATGGACCTTAAAAAGCCAAACACATGAAAAGGAGCTGGGGTAGGGGTAAATGTGGATATGCTGGTTAAAAGGTACAAAAGTTTATCATAGTGTTCATAAAGCTCATTTTACCATTGTTAAATGTTTATCTTTTTGGCCAAGAATTGAGCCAGTGATGATTACTAAATCATGATTATGTGTCATGCTTGACTGTGGTAATCACTTTATAATGTGTGTATATATCAAATCACACTGAACACATTAAATACCTACAACTTTATTGCTCAAAAAGAATGAAAGGACTACCTACCTATATAGTCACTTATTAAGAAGTTTTTGAGTATTGAGTGAGAAGCACAACACATAATCAACCATCAAAGAGGATTAATTAAAAAAGGAAAAAAGGTACTCTGTCATGTGCTGTGTGTGTGTATGTGAAAGAGAGAGAGAGAGACAGACAGAGAGAATGAATATGGCTGGAGGTCTGAACACAGGGCCTACACATTGAGCTACATCCTCAAATCATTTTTTTTTTTTTTTTGTCTTTTTCCTTTTTATCAGTACAGGGATCGAACTCACGACTGCCTACTTGCAAGGCAGGTGCTTATGCCACTAAATCCCCAGTCCCTCAAATCTTATATTTTAAAACACTGTCTTGCTAAGTCACTAAATTGCCCATGCTGAGTAGAAACTTCAATCCTCCTGCGTCAGCCTCCATGCATGGCTAAGAAATACTTGGCTTAGAAAATACTTGGCTGAGAAAGTTACATTTACAAAGAAAACTCTGACAAAAAATACTGCAATTAAAAAGTCAAATTTGGCCAGGCATGGTGGCATACCCCTGTAACCCCAGCACTGGAGGCTGAAGGAGGACTGCTGCAAATTCAGGCCAGCTTGGCCTACAAAGTGAGTTCAAGGTCAAACTGAACTGCATAGTAAAACCCTGTCTCAAAGAAAAAGAATCAAACAGCATCAATAATGAGACAAATGACTATATAGTCTCTTGTTATGTTCACCAAGGATAATTTAATATTACCTAGGTGTAATTCAAAAAAAGATTTAATCTGATTTGTTAAATAATCAGATAAAATGTAGGACAATCTGCCAAACAACTGGCTAAGAGTCTTCAAAACTGTCAATGACAAAAACTAGAAAGGGAAATCTGTATTACAGGAAACTATACAAACATAAGGTAATGGACAATATCTGATGCTTGACTGGCTCCTGGATGGGATAGTGGGGAGACACAGCTATGCAGGACATTATCCATACAAGTAGACAAATCTGAATATGACATATATCAGGCTTTTTAACTGTATGAGTGTGAAATATTTTAAAAGTGACAAGGATATTATGATTATGCAAGAGAATGAATTTGTCCATAGTGCTAGGGATTGAACCCAAGGCATCATGCTGCAAGCTCTCTTCCACTGAACTATGTCCACAGACCAAATCTGTTATTTCTTGGTTGGTTAGTTAGCCCTGGTTTTTGTTTGTTTGTTTTTTATTAAGAATAAAAGAATGAAACCAAAATCGAATGGAAGAAAATAATAAATATCAGCAAACACAATCCGTTATCAAACTCTCAACAAGTACTCATTTCTTGAGACAGGGTTTCACTATACAGCCCAGGCTACCTCAGCCTCCCAAAGTCCTGGGATTGCATGTGCCACCAATTCTGGCTCCAAATCTGTAAAGAGGTACACATGCAAAGTACCTAAAACAATACAATGTCTAAAATTCATTTTCAAATAATTCAGCAAAAAGCAGTTTTAGACAGATTAAGTAAATGTGGCCAAATGTCAACAATCACTCAATCCACAGAGAGGATACCTAAGAGTTCATGTATGGTTCTTCCAACTTTTCCTATAATTTTTTATTATAAAAATGTTAAGAAAAAGGACAGTGACAAGAGTACACACATGCTGATAAGCAAAATAAAGTTAACTGCAACATTGTAACTAAGTGGCCAACAATATGAATGAACACATTATAATATGATCATATAGTATTAAAGGCAATTATAATGGAAAACCAGATGCATCATGATAAGTAGGTCTTGAAAACTTTATTGGGTGAAAATAAAGTAAGGGCTTGCTGATGCTCTACTATGACATCATATACAATCATTTTCTTAAAATTCATGAAAGGAATGCTGCACACTATATGTGAACACATGCCCACGTAGTAATGTGGACAGGAAGGATGTAGAATAAATTACAAAATGTTGATTTCAATTAGAAAGCGATGGAAGATGTCTAGAATAAACAAGAGCGGTAGGTTCTATCTTCTGCTGAAAGAGAGATCAACAGGGAGGGACAGAAGGAAAAGGTTCTAGGGAGGAATACAAAATGAAAAGTAAAAAACTGAAAAATATGTTAAAATGTTATAACTTGCTATTTGGATTCTTAAGATTCACTGGTAGAGGTGTTTATTATTTTGCAATTTTTCAAAATGGTTGCAATGTCACAGTAAACATGAAATTTCAACCTTACATACCAATCCCATTCAACATTAATTATAAGTGATATGTGTTGAATTGATTAACTTACATGAGGTACACTATAAAGCCTACTAAAGTGTGTGTGTATGTGTGTGTGTGTGTGTGTGTGTGTGTGTGTGTGTGTGTATATATATATATATGAACTAACCAGAACAACATAGCTATCAGTGATAGTATAGGGCTATGGAGCTACAAGGCTCTAAAATCTCCCCAATAAAATGAAAAATAAAGATAAAGGTCAAGAATTCAAAAACAGTAATGATGAAAAGACATAACTTTCAATACTAAAGTTTGAGACAAAAGACAGGATTTTTCTAGTAAGTGCTACCACCCTATAATATTGATTGATTGATTGATTGATTTTTGGGGAGGGAAGATACCAGGAATTGAATTCAAGACTTCCCACTTGCCAGATAGGTGCTATGCCACTAAGCTAAAATCCCAGCCCCTATCATCTGATAATAAAAAGAAAACGAAATGTGGTGAGACACTGTAGTATACGAGAAATACACAGTACTGGATGGAGGCACTGAAAAAGACCTCCATCCAGAGCCCTGGAAAGAGGCAGAACTAAGGAAGAGGCCCCACTGTGGACAGTTAGAAAGCATGGCTTCTGTGACAACTCTGCAAAGATCTCATTACTTCATGTACTTCTTTATTTTATTAAACACCAATTGAATAATGATATGTCCTCTTTACTAAATATAGCAAAGAAATACATACTACTGGAACAGGGACATAAAAGAGAAGGAATTGTTAACAGTCATCAGCGACAGTTGTCTGCCAAGCAGTTTCCCTTGAAAAACGGCTAACACAATTGTCCACAAATGAGGCAGCAACCTTGAGTTTGTACATTAAGATACTCCTGAATTTGCAAGTGATATCAACACTGTCAAGAGAAAAGGTGTTTCACCCATACACCTTCCTACCTTCGGTTTTCTGCTGTAAAACTGTCATCAGATGTTTTATAGCTTCATCCACATGCAGCCCATGAAGGTCCAAAACATTCTGTGGCAGCAGGGAGGCATTGACTGTCTCAAAGATCTCCATGGCAGCAAGGTGATTGGCTTGCTTCATCTTCCGCTCATGAAAACTGCCCTTTATAATTATAAACCAATCACCAATGGACAAAATATCAAGATATTTTCTACTCAATGAGGAAACTAATAGTGCCCAAAATAAAACGTGGAGCAATAAATTTGAAAACTTAATGCCCTGACTAAGAGACAAAGAGGCACCAAAATAAGTTTTGGTGAATTAATATAGTTCTTAAACTGGTGAATTGTTGTTTGTTTATTATTATATTGCTCAGCTTTATTCCATGTAATGTTTTAAGACCCGTCCATGTTGTTATATACTAATTATCAACAGTTTATCTCTTTTCATTTTTAACTAATGTTACACAGTACAGACATAGCACAAGTTGTTTGTCCGTTCACACTTTTATATTTGTTTCTGGTGTTTGACTTTTTTATTGGTTTATGTTTATAACATGTAAAATTTACATTCATTTTGGGGGATTAATAAATAAAGATAACATATTTCAATAATTTTCAATCCTTTGTCCCATTCTTCCTTCCCTGGAGTAGAAGGAGTCAATCATTGTGTCTAGAATATTTTCTGGACCAAAAATCATAAAATGAGGAAACAACTAAATATTATCTATCTGAAGATAAAACCCCATGGTTTACTGCTTGATGATAAGTATACTCTTGATAATCCTGGGTCTCAGCGTGGTGTTCCCTTTCAACATGTTACAATTAAATTCTGAAGCCAGGTCCCCAGGAATGCAGTTAGACAAAACATGACTGCAGCAGTTTGACATCTTACTCTGTTCAAAAACATAAGCCATATGGAACCAAAATAAAAAGAATCAAAGTGGTTTCTTAGAATAGATGCAAAATGGGCCTACACAGAAATTTTACCTCCCTGAAAAATACTGCCATTTTTTTAATTTTAAGAGTAATACATTACTAAGAATTCAAACATCATGGAAAGTTCAAGACCCTTATAATTCTACCCTGAGATGGCCAATTTTAACACTTTTCTTTCCTCCAGAATACTTGTGTCTCTTTAGATAGGCTACAACATGTTAGAATCTAACTTAAAAGAAAAGATAGACCATCAGAATAAACTTTAATTCATATAAGCTATAAATGTAGAAGTAATGACAGAAAGTGAATGAAGGAGATGGGGAAAAAAATCTGTTTTTTTTTTTTTGTCTTTTTGAGACAAGGTCTCTCTATGCAGTTCAGGCTGGCCTTGAGCTCACTTTGTAGCCCAGGCCGGTCTCAAAACTTGCAAGGATCCTCCTGCCTCAGCCTCCCAAGTGCTGGGATTACAGGCGTGAGCCACCACGCCCAGCAGAGATGAAATTTTTGAAATCAGATTTCTTTTGCATTAGGGTGCCTTATTTGGATAAGTTATATAATTTCTATATTCCCTAAAATAACTTTATCTAGTCACAACACAGTACAGATTTTAAAATCTACTTCAAGAATATCTGACTAACATAATCGGCAAGTAAAAATAATTAGTCCCTCACTTTACCTGCTGGGCATAAAAGGTGGCCACATGCTTCCTCCCCTTCAGATAGGCCTCCTTCGCCTTGCCGTAGCACTCTATTCTCCTCTGCTGGTGCAAGAAGGCCTCTGCCCTGTAGTCGTCATATCTGGGGTACTCGAAATCCTGGAAAGATGACTCACTCAGAGTATCTTCAGTTTCCTTTAATTTTTTTGCCTGTAAGAGGTTTCATAATAATACACAAAGAAAGGAAAAAATACATGACACCTTCAGAAAATGCACATAAAATTGGGCGCATTTTTCACCTTCTTAGAAAAAATGCATTCTAAAAAAAAAAAAGAAAACGGATTCTAGCCGGGTGTGGTGGCTCACGCCTGTAATCCCAGCACTTGGGAGCCTGAGGCAGGAGGATCTTGCAAGTTGAGACCAGCCTAGGCTACAAAGTGAGCTCAAGGGCAGCCTGAACTGTACTGCTACATGACCCGTCTCAAAAAGAAGAAAAAACCAAACAAACAAACAAACAAACAAAAAAAAACAAATTCTAAATCAGTATCTTTAAGTCAAGCACTGACACTACTGTTATTAGCTCTTCCATGCCATTATTGTTACCCTTTCTTTAATCATTTTTACCTCAGGAGATGTTGAAGTGTTCCCTAAAGTTATCAAAAGATAATTAGGTCACAAAAATCAAGCCAGAACATAGTATATAAGGAAGTCAACAAAACTCATCCAGTGCAGAAATTCTGATTTTTATACTTTGCAGATCTATTCAAAAGTTTCAGTCACAGATGGTAATGCTGGCATATTTCAAATCATACTTTTTGAAAAAACAATAAAATATTATTTTTAAAACAGAAGAGCTTGTAGAGTTACCATGGTTAGTAGTTAATAAAAACCATAAGTATGTTTATGGGATAATTTCGACCAGGTAACTACTACCACTAGGAACTGTGATCAGTTAACTGTTTTGCAATTTCAATCATCTTTTAAAAAGTTATCGTATTGCTAGGAGAGAAAGGAGGTTTACGCAAATGCATCCTTTATGGCACTATGATGTATTCTTTCCTTGAAAGTCTTTGAACAGTGGAAAGACCATTTTGTTGTATTTCCCAATTATTGTTTTTAAAAGAACAATAATCCCAGTCCTTCAAATGGCTTGTATTGAACTTTAACATTTGAATTAAAGATTTTTAAACATTAAAAAAGTTACCATGTAATTACTACCCAAAATAGATCTTTTTAAAGACAGAAGTCATGCTTATATAAAACACATAATAATGAAAACAAAAACCATGCAAATTGCTTGTGTTCCGCACCAAATAGGAAAATTGCATTTTTGAATATGTTAAAACACTATATCCAAATGTCTCCAGAATATCAAAAGCCAATGTTAAAAACATGTATAGTGGTTTCCATATCAAACTTAGCTTTTAATTTATTCCTCTCTCCAATTCATAGAGAAAACTGCTTACAAACAACAGTATGTCTCTTAGTTATAGAAGAATAACATGATTTAAAAGTTTTTTTTTTTTTTTGGGAACCAGTGATCAAACTCATGACCTCGCACTTGCCAGGCAGGCACTTACACCAAGTGAGCTAAATCTCTGGCCCTTAAAAGTACCGGGGATGGAACTCATGACCGCCGGCTTGCAAGGCAGATGCTTATGCTACTGAGCTAAATCCCCAGCCCCAAAAGTTCTTTTCTTAAAAGCCTGAGAATTCCAATAAATGTCATGCCAAGTAATTTAATAAACATTTTATGAACATTCAATATCAAAATGAAAAATAATTGTATTTGTCTATGTTGTAATAAATCGTGCTTTTTCTGATATAATCAACCAAACATAAACTTAAATAGTGTAGACTATTTGTTAAATTTTAACAAAAGCTCAAGATACAAAATCAATATTAAAATATCAACAATGAACTAGATGAGAACAAACCCAGGAAACTCCATTCACAATACCTTCAAAAAATAAAATACCTAGGAATCAGCCTAAGCAAGGAGATGAAAGACCTTTACAATGAAAAAAACAGAACTCTGAAGAAAGAAATTAAAACTCTAGGAGATGGAAGGACCTCCTATGTTCATGGTTCAACAGAATCAACTTAATAGCCATATTACCAAAAGCAATCTACACATTCAATAAATACAATCTCTATCGAAATTCCAATGACACTCTTCACAGTAGGAAAAAAAATCCTAAAGTTCATATGAAAACATACAAGACTTAGAATAGTCAAATTAATCCTAAGCAAAGAGCCAAAGCTGGAAGCATCAAAAGACCTAGTTTCAAATTATAATACACAGCCATAAGTAATAAAAACTACATAAAAAAACCCCTACATGATACTAGCACAAAATCAACACAGTCAATGGAATAGAAGACACATAAACAAATGCATGCAACTGATTTTTATACTTTGGAAATTTCCATCTAATTCTTGATGAAGGTATCAAAAAAATTCACTGAAGAAAAGATAGTCTCTGCCTTAATTTCTTTTTCTCACTGTGGAGACAAAATACCTGACACCCAAAGGTAAAAACAGAACAGTTTATTTTGGCTCATAGTTCGTAGATGTTTCAGTCCATAATCAGTTGGCTCCAAGCAGGGTAGCATGGCAGAGGGGCATCACAGAGGAGAAACAGTTCCCGGCAGGCAGAAGGCAGCAAGGCAGCAAAGCAGCAAACAGCAGCAGCCCCCTTCCTATCCCTTATAGCCAGGCCACACACCCTCAGGGCAGGCAGCACTCACCCCCAGGACAGGCCTTCCCATTATCTACACTCTCAACTGTGCCAAACCACTTCATGGACTAATTTAGTAATCACACGCCCTTAATACCAGCATCACACACTCTAGATCCAGCTACCTCTAGGAAAAAGCTCGACCTATGATCACATGAGGGTTTAGAGACATCTAGATAGACTCTTTCACAAACAGTTCTAGGGAAACTGGATATTCACTTGTGAAAGAGTAAAGTTAGATTCCTATCTCTCATCCTTTACAAAAATTAATTCAAAATAGATCAAAAGGGGCTGGGGATTTAGCTCAGCAGCATAAGTGCCTGCCTGGTAAGTGCAAGGTGGTAAATTCAATCCCTGTCCAAAAAAAAAAGCATACAAAGCCTAGGTAGGTATAAAAACTGAAACTTTGAATCTGCTGTAAGGAAACACAGGAGAAACACTTGAGGTATAGGCACAAAAATTTCCTAATAGAATTCCAACAACATAGGAAAATAGTAAGAATCAATAAATGAGGCTATGTTAAACTAAAAAGTTTCCCTACAGAATGGGAGAAAATCTTTGCCAGGTACTCTTCTGATAGAAGATTAATATCTACAATACATAAAGAACTGAACACCAAAAAAAATCCTGATCAGTTAATGGCCAAATGAATTGAGCAGACACTTCTCAAAAGAAGAAATACAAATGACCAGTAAGCATACGAAAAAATGTTTAACATCCTTAGCCATCAGAGAGATACAAATCAAAACTATACTGAGAGGTGGGTGCAGGAGGCACACACTAGTAATCCCAGCACTCAGAAGGCTGAAGGCTATGTAGTTGAGTGCAACTTGGGACACATAATAAATTCAAGGCCAGCCTAGACTATGCAGTGAGAGCCTGTCTTCAAAAACTAAATGGAACAAACAAAAACTATACTGAGTTTCCATCTGTTCCCAGTGGTAATGACTATCATCAAGAATACAAAAAATAATGCATGTAGGAGAGGATGCAGGGGTTACAGTTACACTGCTGGTGGGAATGTGAATTAGTATAGCTACTCTGAAATCAGTAATGGAAGTTCCTTCAAAAACTAAAAATAGATCTACCACACTTGACCACATAGTATCATTCCTTGGTATACATTCAGAGGAATTAAAATCAGAATAATATACATAGTGATACATTTACATCTATGCTTACCACATTACAATTCACCAATAGAAGCACCCTCCATGACCGTCACCAGATGAATGGATGAATAAATTCTGGTGTATATATATATATATATATATATATACACACACATACACATACACACAAAGGAGTATTATTCAAACATTACAAGGAAAAAAATTATGTCACTTGCAGGAAAATGTTTTGTGGTAAGTGAAATAAACCAGACTCAGAAAGATAGGTATTACACATTTTCCCTTAATATATGGAATCTAAAAAAGATGACAACAAAGAAGGGATACTACCATTAAGTAAGAGGAAGAAAGGGGCAAGGAGCCAGGAATTTAGCTCAGTGGCATATGTGCCAGCTTGGCAAGCACAAGGTCATGAGTTCAAAAAAAGGGGGGGAGGGGGGAGCCAAGGAAAGAGAGGTATAATGGAAGCTAACAGGGTGGGTGAATATGATCAGAAGCTATGCATATATGAAAACAACACTGAAGCCATTATTTTGTAAATTATGTTTCATTACTGAGGACCTTTCCTTTACTGGACCAAGACTTCTGTACTGTGCTACATCACCAGCCTTCTTTATTTTTTGAAACAGGGTCTCACTAAGTTACACAGGCTGGACTCACACTTACAATCTTCCTGCCTCAGTCTCCCAATGGGCTGAGACTGTAAGTGTGCATCACCACACATGCCTCAGTATATTGTACAATAGAAACCAATGAAAAGTATGTTTAATTAGAAAATTTTTTTAAAAATTCAAAAAGTTGAAAATTTTCATTTAGAAATATTATTGCCTTGGTGTGGTGGTACACACCTGTAATCCCAGCACTCAGGAGACTAAGGCAATAGGATCACTGCAAGTTCAAGGCCAGCTTGTGTTACATAGTGAACTCAAAGTCAGTCTGAACCACACAGTGAAACTCTGACTCAAAAGAAAATGAGAGAGACAGACTGACAGACAGACAGACACTATTGTCAAGGATTATAATTATAATCTATTCTATAAACAATCTTCAATGAATAATGATTTAAAAATTTTATGTAATATTGAGTTTAAGGCCAGCCTGGACTATATAACACGACCCTATCTCAAAAAAATTTATGTAGTATCTCTTATATATTAAACATCATGTCAAAATTATAGTTTTGTATACACATATATATTAATCATTGACTAAAAACTTTTTTTTTTCAAATCTTCCTCCTGAAAACAGTTCAGAAGTCATGAAAGAGTGAAGAAAACTAGCCTAATATTACATAACAGTAGCTGGTTATATAATTTCTTCCTTCATTATATTTTGATTAATTGAACTCTATAACTCTAAAGCTTTGAAAAAAATTAAAGAACATTTAGAAGACATCACTATATTATCAGAAATTAAAATCCTGTAAATCAATTTATTTTTGCAGCAATTACACAGCTTATGTTATGAAAAACAGAATACTAGAATGTTTTTTACGTAAAGATATCCATAGATATCCTAAGTCATTCTCAGAAGTTTAGTCACAGCTAGTTTATATTAACGTTCAGATGTTACAAGAGTGTACATCTTGCCTTCCTAATAAAATCAAAGATTTTTGGAAAGGATAATAAAAATCATCTCTTTAACCTTTGAAAATTCCGGGGCTGGGGGTTTAGCTCAGCGGCATAAGCGCCTGCCTTGCAAGCAGCCAGTTGTGAGTTCGATCCCTGGTACCGATAAAAAGGAAAAAGACAAAAAAAAAAAATAAAAAAAAAGAAAATTCCCATATACCTGCTAACACTATAAACGTAGTAAATATTTCATTGTACAAAGGATTCTGTTCCTAATTCATAGAAAAAAATGAATTTTGGTTTTGTGAGAAGAGACCCCTTTGTTTCTTATTTTTAAAGAAAAAAGTAATTTCTATAGGAGTTGTAGTAATTCAAGTGCTGTCATGCACACTGAATATTAAAGAAAAAATACAATCAGCTATAAATTTCCAACCTAGTCAAGTGGTAGGAAATAAACTGAGCTTGGTGGCATTCATTTGTAGCGCTCTGGGAAGCTGAGATAGGAGGAACACAAATTAAAGCCCAGCTCAATAACACAGGGAAAACCTGTCTCAAAATAAAAAATGTTGGGGGGAGAAGGGCAGAGATGTAGCTCTGTGCAAAGCCCTAGGTTCAATCCCTAGTACGACAAAAAAGCCCTGAGAAATAACCATTAAATTATTATGCTCAAGGACCAAATAATCACTTTATATACATTATAGTAAAAAACAAGTAACTCAATACACACCTTTTTCTCTTTAGACTTCTGCGCAGTGTGAGAAGTGACAGTCTCATTTTGGTGAACAAATTCTTGAGCTACAACTGTTTTTACAGGTTCTCCTTCAAGAACACAGTTTAGAAACTGCAGTGTTGGTTCTAATGAATAGCTGTAGAAAGTTAAAGTACAAATATGTGACTAAATAAAAACAAAAAGTTACATGAAGGTTTAAATATAAGCAACCTTTAAACATAGTATAAAAATGTGAAATACTGACTTCTAAGTTTTCAGCACTAAAGTTAAATATTCTCTGTGTAGTTAGAGTTAAGAACGAAATGAGAGAAACTAACAAATAACAGGCTCCCAAAACCTAATTTTTCAAAATGAATACCATCACTGTATGCCAAGAGTAGTAACCAAGGTTGATAACAGCTACAGTTACACAGGAGCAAGGAGTTGTGATGTACAAGAGGATAACAGGAGATAACAATAATGTACTGTAAACTCAAAAGCTAGAGGAAGAAACCGATTATATATTAAACCACAAAAAGAATATCAAATTCTAATAATTTATACTTTTCTAGGCCACTTTCTTATACCCCAATTCAAAAATAACAACAAAAATCTCCTACTATCACTACCAAAGGCAAAAGGGCTGAGGAAAAAAAAACTTAGATAAGTAAAAAAACCAGGCTGAAATTAGAGATGTTTAGAAAACACTGAAAATAAAAATACTGTATCAGGAGTTAAACAACAGAAAAAAAGCAAATCTCTGAAGATAATCAGGAGTTATTCCAGAAATCTATTATTGTGACTGATACAGTAGTATATTAATAAAGATCAAAACATATATTACTCACTCAAAAGGTTCCATAGTTTCTTTAATTCTTGCTAAACCAAGATGTTAAGAAAAAATATATGATGAAAAATACATATTAATTAAATTAAACAACTCGTAATAAACATGAGATGCACTATAGCACTATAATAATTTAAATCAGCAAGCCAAGCAGGGTCCAGAAGATAAAAGTCAAACAGCACCTCTCATGAGCCTACTGGCTGAAAAATCAGGGCCTCCACCCACCCTACCTCCACCCTGTAAGCAACTGGCTGGTTTAGAGGGCAGGCTGAGTTGACAGCAACTGAGATACAAAAAGCAACTGAATGTTTGTACTGTTTGGTTGACTTTGCAGGCCTAGAGCTGGAGGTCTGGGCATCTGTCGGGAAGATGACAGTATGCAGGATATCAAATATGGGGGATTTCCTTCTATCTTGTTTTTGCAGTTCAGTATTGTTCTGTTTTGCTCTGATTGTTTTGCTTTATTCAATGTTCTGTGTTAATTGGTTTTTATTCTGTTTTGGTCTGATTTTGCTATATCTGACAGAATGGACAACTATTGTGAGGATAAGATATACTGATGGTTGTTGTTTTCCTATTATCCTGCTTTGAAGTTCTGTACCAGTTGCACTGGTTTGTTTTATTAGGCTTTATTATCTTTTTTGTAAAATAATAATAATAATGTCTTTTTTTTGGTACAAAGGATCAAGCTCACAACCTCGCATTTGCCAAGCAGATGCTTATGCCACTAACCTAAATCCGCAGCTGTATCATCTTTAAAGTTAAAAAAAAAGTGAGTTCAAAATTTAAAAAATAATAATTTAAAACTATACAGTGGCAACTCAAGGCCTAACAAATAGCTATTTATATTTTACATGACTGCATAAAGACGATCCATTCATTCAGTTAATTATTTGGAAAACTGCCACCTCATTTATAAATAAATCACCACTTCATACTACACGCATAAAAGCACTAGGTAGAAAAACAATTTAATATTAAAAATATTAAAGAACATATGTTTATAACACTGGGATAGAAAAGACTTCCTAAATAAAACACAAAAATGACAAAAGAAAAAACTTGCTGCTACAACATATGAATTTAAAGACATCTATGCCCAAAGAGACTACACCAAGTTAAGAGATAAACCTATCTTTTTTCTAAAGGCAAATTTTATTTATGCTTAAAAACAATACTTAGAAGACTTCAACATGCCAATGCATGCCTGACACCAGAGTTCACTGGGGAGTCATAGGGAGGAGCTGGCTGTCTCTGGGAAGTCCTATTTTGCACTCTCGGAAATTCCGCCCCCTTTCCAGTCTTCTCAGCAAAGATTCCACAGTTTCAGCCCAGGCCAAAAAACACATATGGATGAAGAAACACAAGCTGGCAACTATGAGCCTTGTTCCAAGAATGATGGCCCTCGGGTCAGAGGGGCTTCGCACAATGAAGGTTATTCCCAAACTCAGAGCCAATAATACCAGGCAGAAAAGAAGGAAGTATTCAGAGTCTCCTCAGACTGATCCTTGGATTATCATCCTGCTGGCACACTGTGATGTTTCGCTGGTCCTGGTAGCACAGGCCTATAATTCAAACACTTTAGGAGGTAGGAGGATCACAAGATGGAGTCCAACAAGAGGAAGTTAGTGACTTGGTTTGACGTTGGTACCATAAGTAGTTTTCTACTAAACAAGTAACAGAAATAGACTCCCCTAAAAGACAGGCACAAGCCCTGTAAGACCAAATGTCCTGAGAGGAAATGGTTGTAACCTATCTTAATAGACAAAAATTACTATACACAATATATATGGAATGTCACAAAGCTAGAAAGAGATAGAATCAACAGAAGAATAGGCAAATGTAATTGGTAGGAAAAGAAATTTTTAAAAAACCACCTTGCAAGCAATCAGGAAAACAGAAATTTAGTGGGCAGTATATATTTCCTACCACAGGGACAAAACAATTTAATTCCTAATACCCAGCAAGGTTACACTCTTCACTGCATACAAGCATATAACTAATACAGACAGCTTTTATTAAAGGACATTTGGGATTAGTTATAAAAGTATTCAATGTATGCACTCTATATAAGCCAACAATCTCACTTCTAGAGACTATCTTACAATAGTAGTCACCAATGTATACAAAGACATATACCCAAGGATGCTCACTACAACATAGTTACCAATTTTTCTCATACTAAAAAACCCACAGAGGACTTGAAAAAGATGGCAGATAGATAACAGCAAGCTACAGAGGTTCCCTGAGATAGTCAACTTAGATTCCAAATATAATACAGCGTGGGGAGTCCAGAACAGAGGGAGACAGACTCTTCTGACCCAGGAACAAACTAAGCTGAGAGAAACCAATTAAAAATACAGTCCCAGTGCTACTATTGGAACCGCTCACAGTCTTGGGACTGCTGCTTGAACACGCTGCAGCAGCTGCACTTGAACCCACACAGTGGAACAGTGGAAACTTATCAAGCTATCTGAAAGCCCGCCAGTTTCAACTCACAGGAGATGCATTCAGACTAAGGATGGGAATCAGCAAACTGAACTGAGAGCTGAGCTGGTGGGGAACCTCACATCGACCTGCGGTGAGTGATGGGAATAAAAACCCTTCCATAGACAAAGAGGCTCCAACAGACGATATTCTAGGACCCGGCAGACTGGCCAGAACAAGGGGCTGCAGTGACTTCAGTCAGCTACTCCCTTCTCAAGCAGATTTGGTGGGGAGCACTTGACCTGGGTCATGCCCCAGATTGAGACCCAGTAGGTTAGCCCAAACCAAGTCCCTATGCCTGGCAGTGCACTCTAATGCAGTGAGGCCCTCTGCAGTTTGACTGAGCCGGAGGGAAGGGCCCAGCATAGGTGCCCCACTCTGTATCTCCCCAGTACACTGCAGTGGGTGGGAGCACCTAGCCAGCATGTTTCAGACAAACTGCAAACCAACAAAGAAAGAAACTGGGCCTCCTATATACACCTATATGGAAGGAACAAAAAACATGAGAAGAGGAAGCAACAAGAAATGGTCCCCAGTCCCTAATCCTGAGAACATTGATCCAGGAAAGGTAAATGCAAAGGAGAATGAGGACAGCAAACATGCAGTATCAGACATGGTACCAGTAGACATAAAGTGTTATTTTCAGGACCTCATAGATGAGTTCAAAAGTGAAGTATTTAACCAAGTAAAGCAAAACATAAATAGAATAATTAAAGAAATGCTAAGCACATCTCAAGAAAAAACAGATGGAAAAAGAGAAGAACACAAAAAAGGGAGAATTGTTTGATAAGCAAAACAGAGAAAACATAGAATACATGAAGCAGGTTCAAAGAGATTTCCAGGAAATTAAAAACTCTATTGAAAGCTGGCAAAATTGCTTGAAAGAAACTAAGGATAGATTATCCAAACTACAGGACAGGTTTGCAATGTGGGATCATGAAAGGAAAAATTTCTTTAAAATAACAAGCAGTAACAATACAAAGGCTAGAAGACGACAAGAGGATCTATAACTTAAGAATAAAGAATGTGAATGAAGAAGCAGGGATACAAACAAAGGAACTACAAAGGTTAATCACAGAAATAATTAAGGAAATCTTCCCAAACATAAGAAAAGGAAAAGATATTCAGATGTATGAGGCATACAGAACTCCAGCCACCTACAACCAAAACAGAACTACACCCAGGCATATAATAAAGAAGATACCAGAAATCCAAAATAAGAATAAAATATTAGAAGCTGTCAGAGACAAGAAACAGATTATCTACAAGGGAAAGCCCATCAGAATTACAGCAGACTTCTCAGCACAAACTATCAAATCAAGAAGAGTGAAGCGAAGTATTCCAAGTCCTGAAAGAAAATAACCTCCAGCCAAGATTGATGTACCCTGAAAAATGTCCCTTGAAATTAATGGAGAAACAAGATACCTCCAAGATAGAGAGGAACTGGGGGAATTCGCAACTACCAATGCAACCCTACAGGACATTCTAAAGAGAGAGAAAAGCACCAGGATTTCAGGAACAGTGGCAGAGACGCCCCAATGAATGGAGCAAAAAATGAAATGAAGAAGACAAACAGACAACCAATAATGGAAAAAGAGCACAACAGAAATGAGGTAGAGAAGGTTGGACATAATTTCTAATATTCATGGCCTAGATACACTAAATTAAGGAAAACAAAGAGAGAATCACAGGCATAGTGGCTCAAGTGATAAGATCCACTGAGATACTCTTTATAGGAAATATAATTAACCTGAAGAAAGGTATATGGACCAAAATCAAATATGAGAAAACAGAACTCTATGTGATAGGGAACCAGAGAGTAATAGGGGCAACTGAACCAGTATTTATGGATAGGTTGGAGAGACAGGCTTTAATAAGTAAAGAAATACAATTAGAGATCAAATCCAGGAGTGAGAAAGTTCAGAAACACTTAGGTAAATAGCAGGTTGCCTCCCCCCCCCCCAATATAAAACCGAGGGTGTTTGGAGACCCAAAAATACTCAGTACACTCTGGGGGAGTGAAAGGGGAGGAATTGTCTTTAAAAAGACAGCAGAAGATATTGCTAATAGTGTATCAGAAATTAAAACCCGTATTAGTCACACCACTCTGCTTAGATAGAGCCTATTCCATCCCACTTTGTATACAAGCACTAGATCTGAGGGCACAGACAGCTATCCCAAAATTATCAGGATATAGCACAGTAATCATCTTAATTTCCTATTAACTTAATCTGGATCCCTGTATAACTTATGCTGTATATCATGACTGATCTTAGTTAAACCTGTTTTGCTTGATTGCTGCTTGTTATTCACACATTTTATTCAAAACTGTTGATAGTATCAAGTCAGAGAGTACAGACAACTATACAGAAAATGACAATGATTCACTACGATACCCATTCTGATTCGATTACTACCTGTTTTTGTAGTTCTACACTATCTACAAAGTTGTATTTCTATTAATACTGTTATGTACTGATATATTCAATTATACTTTATCTGATGATATAGCCAATTCTATTGATGATAACAAGAGACAACACAGTAACCATGGTAGAACTCCTTGTACAGCAGTTTTATATGTGTTTTTAGTTTTAGGTGTCTATAGGAATATGTTTTGTTCTGTCCTGCTTTGTTCTGTTTCTCCCTCTGATATAGAAAGGATAGAAATATATGTTAAGACTCATGCTTATGTAAAACCTATAAACACTTTACGAGAACTGATCATATGACACATGATGAAATGAACAAATGCTTTGAAGGAAAAAAAGGCACTACAGTACCCAGTGCTGATTCTGGAGTGTCATGATGTGAAACCCAGCAATACTTTTAATCTTTGTTCAGAGCGATTTTAGTCTGCTTTAGTTTACTTAATCTCAACATAAATGAAGATATGGATAAATGCGTACATGTTTAAGTGTATAGGATTGATAGCCATATTACTAAGTTGTTTTTTTTTTTTTTTAATTTTTTTTTTTCTCTTTTTCGTTTTTATCGGTACCAGGGATCGAACTCACGACTGCCTGCTTGCAAGGCAGGTGCTTATGCCACTGACCTAAATCCCCAGCCCCCATATTACTAAGTTTTTATTAGATAGTTGAACAGAACTATTTGCAGTCGTCCTGTTTGAATTTCCATTTATATGTTCCACTTTTGTATCCTGAACAATTATTTGTTAGAGGACAATATGTAAACATCAACAAGTGATTTATTACTGTTTATTTTTTTTCTTTGAAAGTATGTACTATTTCTACCCGTTTTCCATTGTCTTTCTTTAAATTTAAAAAAAAAAAAAAAAAAAAAAAACACAGCCAGGTATGGTGGCCCATGCCTGTAATCTCAGCACTCAAGAGGCTGAGGCAGGAATACTGCATAAACTACATAGCAAGCCCCTGTCTTAAAAAAAAAAAAAAAAGCCCTTCACAATTACATACATGTTTAAATAAATTATGGTACTTTCTTACTATGGAACACTTTGTAAACATGAAAAAGAATAAGTCATTATGTATAGGTAAGACAATTTCAGCAAAACTACAAAATCAACACATAAAATATGATCTTTTTATGAAATACATATGCATATACAGACGCAAAAGCCCACAGGTACACACGTATGCACATCTATCAACATATATTTTAAAGACTGAGGAACACAAATTGCCAGAAACTGCATACCAGGTATATTGTATTTGAATTGCTTATATAATTTTTATCAGAAAAATAAACATCAGAGATTGTCTGGCAGATTCCCTCAGTGACAACCAAGCAGAAAAGACATAAGCACTTACTTGTGATCCTTGAAAATATCCATCAGAAAATTTCGATCAATGGTTGGAAACATCTCAAACAGTTGCTTCTCCTTCAGTTTAGTTGCACAATCTTTTTCAAAAGTAAGTGTCTCCCTTTTCTAAAATAACATAAAAATCACCCTTAAGATGATACTTAAAACACTAATAGAGCTAACCAAAAGCTAAGCTACTGCAAAAAAGATATAATTTATAAGCACTCACAGGCTTTCTTTGTTAAAAAGGATAAACTCAGTACTATTAAATCTTCTTGCACTGTTTAGTTATGTCTCATTTTTGCAAAGTATTTGAAATTGCTCATATATAGATATACAATCAGACATACACAAATGTGTGCATTATATATAAATATATGTACACACACATCTTCCATACATTCAATCATATTACAGAAAAGCATGAAGAGATACATACAGTCATATACCACAGAACGATGTTTCAGTCAATGGCTGACTGCATATGTCAGTGGCTAAACTATCCAGACAACTATGCAATACTATACTGGTTAGATACTGTACCATCCAGGATTGCCCAGACATATTCTGATATTCACATAACAATATAATTGCCTAATATCATTTCTTAGAACACCGTCTGTCACTAATTAATACATGGAGGTACATATAAACAGAATATAAATAAATGAAGTATGGAGATTACAGCAAATAAAGGTAAATAAAGCCAGCAAGAAAAATTAGTATATAAGTCAATTCCATGAAATCCTGGACAACTGCTAAAAGGTGGACCATAAATTTAGTTCTGAGCCTCTCAGTGGATAAATAAAGGAAAGGAAAAAACAAAGACTCTCAGTGTCTACAAAATCAAAACAAACCAGCTGCTCAGGAGAACTACAGCTTTTCTGATACTGAAACCTGAAAGAAATTTCTCCCATGGGTCATCATAAAAGAAACACTGTCTGGTGAAGTGAACAATGTCCTCAAAAACATATTCTCTTCAATGCAGAAACTACAATGTACAAACAGGTTGCAAATTCAAGCTCACAGAAAATCTTAGAATTCACTATTGTTTTTCACAAACATAATTACTTCAAAATAACTATAAAATATTATTTTTCACAATTTCTATTTGGATCTGCCAGTCTAACACTGCTAAGCCAAAAGAACTTTCTTAAAATACACTATTTTAATTCTAATCTAGGATTATGGTAAACATTTTTAAGGTGACTTAAGTGGCTCCTAACACTGTCCACACTGTGATGCAACTGAATACTTTTTGTTTTCTAAGAAGATCCTAAACACTGAAAAGATAACAATAAACATAATTTCTACATTTAAAAATTATAGTAACCCAAAATAACCTCAAATACATATTTGTTTTGAAGCCTAGTTATAATTAAGCCACTCATAGCACCAAACTACCACTCATAGCACCAAATCTGACCAGGAAAAAGGATTGACAAAATTGAACACTTCACAAGAATGATGGAGCCAGGTACGGTGATGCACACCTGTAATCCCAGCACTTAGGAGACTGAGGAAAGAGGAGATCTCATTCCAAGTTTGAGATCAGCCTGAGCTACAAAGTGAGCTGAAGGCCAGCCTGAACTGCATAGCAACACCCTGTCTCAAAAAGACAAGAGTAAGGGAAAAAGCCACCTCAAGAATTTAAGTATTTCGTATTTATTTAAGTTATGCATTATAATCAATCTATTTTTTTTTTTAAAGTGAGTGGTCATATTTACTATAGCAATCTCCAGGTCATAGAAATTCTAAACTACAAATTCTAACATCTTATCAATGAACTGAAAACCCATGTCCTTAATTATCTTAAAACCATTATCTACATATATCGTGCATAACATTTATTTTATATTGCTTGCTTTAAAAATACATAAAAAAATATACTTCTCTGGAGACAAAGAGAAAACACCAAGAAATTCAACTGACATCTACCTAAAGTCTCCTTGAGACTAAGTCATTCGGCTTCTATTTGCAAATTATCACTAACTGGGAAAAGTGCATAGCATGCTCCAGCAGTGCAATTGGTTAGCATGTGGCATTTATACAGAAAAAAGTGCACTAAATTGTGAAGTCAAAAGATGCTCACTTATACGTTACACTGAGAGATTAAAAAACAGGTAACGACTGTAAATCTAACATTATGGTGGAAAACGGAATTATAGCAAAAAGCGGTTAACTATTTGCGCAGAAATTATTATTAGGCATTCCTTAAACTTTTTTTTCAGAAAATGCTTTTTTCAGTTTATTACACCCATAGATTAGGGGACATCTGAAAAAACATTTAAATTATAAGACACTACTACTTGATTGAGATTGTTCTTTGATTATATAAGAGTGAAAAGACGAGAATGGTAGCATATTAACAACTTAATTAACAAGGTAAATATGAAGATTCCCATCATTCTTTCTGTCTCAATTCTATGTATTACAACTAAATATGAAAATCAAATGAGTAACAAAGAGTGCAAAAATGTTTTAAGAACACCATTTAAGAGTTAACTTCTACTTCTTGTGAAATAGGTTATTTTCCATTTTGATTTTGAAATCTTTAATATTAAGTTTCAGAAGTAAAAGGAGAAAAAATACAAAAGAAATCAAATTCACTCAAGGCTTCATATAATTAGCTATATAAGAATAAAAAATAAAGTTCAAAGTAAAGTTTCTGTTTTAACTTGCTTAATTAAGTTAGAAAAAGAGTAAATTTTAAAACTCAAACCCATTAAGTTTCTAAAATTCTCTAAAAATTGTTTCAAAGATGGACACGTTAAGCATGTCTCCCTAGTGTAAGAAGCTAAAAGAGTCAGAAAGATCCAAAATTTACAACAGATATTATGAAATGGGAAGGAATTGTTCAAAAGGAAAGAGAAATTGGGCTAAGAGAAGAAAAGGAAAAAGGATAAATAAATAAATAAATAAATAAATGTGTAAATATATAAAGACAGCCGGATATACTAGTGCAAATCTGTAATCCCAGCACTCAGGAAGCTGAGCTAGGGGGACCAGTCCAAATTCGAGACCAGCCTCAGCTACAAAATGAGCTCAAGGACAGCCTGAATTGCATAGCAAAACTTTGTCTCAAAAAGTCCAAAAAAAAGGTCATTCTCGGACTGAGGAGGGAGAAAATCAGTCCTCACCACGAGGTGATCCCCACCTAGAAACCAGCACCACGCACATGCCACTGCTGAAAAGCAGAGAGCCAGACCCAAGCCTCTCTCCGTGAGTCAGCGCTACTCATTTTCTGGGTTGGTTTTATTCTCTTTGGTTTTGTTTTGTTTATGTTAAATCTGAAGGCATGAGCAGCTATTTAAAAGATAGCAAAACATATTATAGGAGACATTTTGAGTTTACTACTGGCTTGTTTGGAAGTCCTTTATTGCATTCATTATTTTCTTTTTATTGTTTCTATACTATTCTGTTTGGTTTGATTTTTATTATGTCCAAAGGTATCTGCAGCAATTCTGAAGACAATAAAAAGCATTATGGTAACTACTGTTGATTTCATAAGGCTCTGAAATCCTATATCACTTAAACTGTTTTATTTTGATTGGTTTTATTGCTTTATTTTCCTTGGTTTTATCCCCTTTAAAATAAATATATATATGATGGTTAAGATAGTTATGCTACTAATTTCTGTTGCTCTTACGTTATTATGCTTTATATGACTTTTTTGTTTGTTTGTTTTTTTGGTACCAGGGCTCGAACTCATGACTTTGTGTTTGCCAAGCAGGCACTTACACCACTGAGCAAAATCCCTGCCTCTTATGCTACTAATTTCTATTAGTTCATTGAAAAGAAAGGTTTGTGTTTATATTGATCAATTTTTCATGTCCCTATCTTGGAATTTGAGCAACTACTTTGAAAATAACCATATACAATGTATTAACTGTTGTTACATTCCTACTATCTTGTTTTGAAATTTTATATCATTTTATTTTTTGTCCTTAAAATAAAAAAATACCAAAAAAAGCTGGGCACATGTTTAATTGCAAGATGAACAATTCTTAATACTAATTTATGTATGAATTTATCTTTAAATGAAAGTTTTGTGTGTGTGTTTTTCTAACATCAAAAAATCAGAGGTAGCTAGAAATGTTAACACCTGAAATCCTAGCACAAGGGAGGCTGAGAGAGGACTGCCACAAGCTCAAGGCCAACCTTGGCTACATAGCAAGACCCTGATTCAAAAAGACAAAGGGGGGGGGGCATAGATCAAGTGGCACAGCTATGCCTGCCTGGCAAGTGCAAGGTTGCAAGTTCAATACCTGGTACCAAAAAGTTTTTTAAAAAGTCACAGATAAATATTAAAAGCTAAGAAAGATGTACATTAATCACTTGCAAAATTAAACCTAATATAACATTAAAAGGATTATTAAAATATCAATTACCTAAAAGCAAAACTTCCAACTTCAGATTATACTTAAAACATTTTTCACCTGGGTATGATCACACATGCCTGTAATCCTAGCACTCAGAAAGCTAGGGCAGGAGGATGTCATGAATTCAAGGCCAGCCTAAACTACACAGTAAGACTCTGCTTTCAAATAAAAAAATCTCAACTGTAACACTAATTTCAACCAAGTGAAATATGGATTCTAAACTAGAAAACACTGAATTAAATGTACACACAAAGTAAGCAACAACAATTAACAAGAGTTAAAGATGACAGCTTAAAATGTGTACTAACTCATACCAAATCAAGCTTTTCCTGTATGGCAATTTCTTCTGACATTATTTCTCTGAGTGATACTTTTCTAGTTTGAGTATTCCAGTGATCCAAGAAGGGCAGCATTTCAGATGTTGCTAAAGTCTGCAGTAATTTTCTGTCTACTTTCTGTTCAGGATTATCAAGACCAGTATTTCCAACCAAGGAAGGATCTATAAGAGCAATATAAATAGTGTTAAACCTTCAACAATTAATACAAAAGTAAAAATACTCACTTTTACATCTACCTCAAAGAAACCAAGAAAATACAATTTTTAGCTTTTGAATTTGTGAATATAACACAACTCTGAAATTTCAAAATACATTTTCACATAATTACGTGCAAGATAAATAAATGTAGGAATATTTTAAGCGATCGATGATCTGGGTATAGCAGTACTTCCCATACTTTCTCATAACACATTGACACAAAAAAGGTGATGCATATTTAGGACACTGGTAAACAGAAGATATTATAGCTAGGTAGAAATGAAAACTAGAATGGCTCTTGTCAGCTTTGTCCAGGCAATTAAAGAAATGAGAGAATCAGTGTTTTGGCAAATCAGTAACTCACTGGAAATACAATAAACACTAAGGAAATGACATTCAAAATAAGGAACTGAATAAGAAGTTATAACAGAACTGAATGTGTAACCTTTAATAACAGATATACACATATTCCTTGTTTTCCTAGGAAATGAAGAAAACAGCACACACTTGCATTCATGCAATTATAACACACTCTGGACACTCAAGCTCTCAGACAGCTTTAAATCTTAGAGACAAAACACAAGCACAAGAGTTAAAGTAGATTCAAGCAATCTGCCACCTGGGGCTCCCTGCTGTGGTCAAAGTATGCAATGGAAAAAAGAGGCACTTGGTGGGACTCATGAATAAGGAAAAAACCACTGGCCAGCTATGGTGGCACACACCTGTAATCCCAACACTTCAGAGGCTGAGACAGGAGGATCTGCTTAAGTTTCAAGGCAGCCTGGGTTACATAAGTGCACTCAAGGCCAGTCTAAACTACATCGAGACTCTTATTTCAAAAAATACAGAGAGAGAGAGAGAGAGAGAAGGAGAGAAGGAAGGAAGGAGAGAAGGAAGGAAGGAAGGAAGGAAGGAAGGAAGGAGAGAAAGAAAAAGAGAAAAAGGGAGAGGAGAAGAAGAGAGGAGAGGAGAAAAGAGACAAGGAGGGAGAGAAAGAAGATCCTCATCATCTAAGGTCCTCACTGAGGATAGCCCTAAGATAAGTCATCTAGTATTTTCTTTTTTTTGTCTTTTTCATTTTTATCGGTACCAGGGATCGAACTCACGACTGCCTGCTTGCAAAGCAGGCGCTTATGCCGCTGAGCTAAATCCCCAGCCCAATCTAGTATTTTCAAGTTGGCAGGAAGAACCAAAAAGCAGGCTGATTTTATGCTCTAGTAATACTGACATCAATAAAATTTTTGAAAACCACAGTAATAATTCAAAAATGCTTTCAAACACATAAACACTGTTTTTCTTTTTGGGGGGGTTGAGGGGTGGGGGGTGGTACCAGGAAGTGAACTCAGGACCTTGCCCTTGCCAGGCAGGCACTGTGTCACTGAGTTCCATCCCCAGCCCTTAAACACTGTTTCTGTCAACTCAGTTTTCTTTCACTCAAAGCAAAATCTTAACAGGAAACATTCTGTGTATATCATATGCATCAGATAGCATATTTTAAGTATTCCAAAGCACTCATGATGATTAAATTAAATGTATGATAAAGATAGCGTTCATTTTACCACCTTTTAAGTTTTTGCTTTATCTTACAATTCAAGTATTTCTAAAGAATCTGAATTTGCAAATGTAAATTCATTAGTAACATATTTTGCGGAAGTATATTCAAAATGAGTTCAAATACATGCCAAGTTTCAACATCAAGGTAAGAACAGAAGTAAAATTACATGCTTTACCTTGTATACACTTGCCACAAGACATTTCCTCTTGTCTCTGTCGCTCCTGAACACAAATAAAAAGCAGAGAATGGGGAAAGGAGGGTACATAAGGTAAATAAGGTTACAGGTTTTATTATTTTACTCTAGAAATCATTTCCTACTTTTTTTGTTTTTTTTTTTCATTTGTTTGGTTGGCTGCCTTTTGTTTGTTTTGAAATAGGGTCTCACTATGTAGCTTAGACTGGCCTCAAACTCACAGCCTCACAGTACTGAGATTACAGGCATGCATCATCACGCCCAGCCATTTCTTCTTATGTAACTATAAATAGCTCTTCTTAAATCTAAATAAAACAAAACTAGATAAATGAAATTTTAACATCTATATATCCTTTCTTCTTATACAGATTTTATATGACGCATTTAAAAAAAAACTTTTTAAAATTTAATTAATGAGCACTGTGCTTTTTTTTTTTTTTGCTTTCTTTTTTGAGAGAGGATCTCGATATGCAATCCAGGCTGGCCTCAAACTGCCTCAACCTCCCAAGTGCTAGGAATAGAGGTAAGCACCACTATGCCAAGCTGCACTGTAATCTTTTAAGGAGGGAAGAATTCACTGTTTAGGATTTTTTTGGTTAAAATGAAATTAATAATCACAACCTCTGTTGCAAATTACATAATAGGGTCAATCTGGAAATATTTTCAATATTGAAAAAACAAAAACAATTAGTAAACTTTCTATTTGGTTGGTTTTTGGTTTTCTGAGACAGGGTCTCACTTGTAGTTCAGGCTGGCTTTGAACTCATTTTATAGTCTAGGCTGGCCTCAAACTCAGGGAGAGTACTAGGGACAGTACTAGGCCTCAAAAATCAGGGAGAGTACTTCTGAGTACGAGGATTACACTACAGCCAGCTGGTAAACTTCATTCTTTCAGAGTCAAAATGCAGTAGAGCTCATTCATATAACAGTGGATTTTACTGAATAGCAGTGATGATGAAAGAATAAAAGAAACTGTTCATAAAAAGAAGCCTACCAACCATTACAGATTCTTTCCATTTCTCATGAATCACTTTAGCCAGATTCAGATCTATATGAACCACACAATCCTCAACTGTTAGAGATCCTTGTGAAGAGAAAAAAAAGAAAGCTTAATCATTACTCATTATACATTAGAAGAAAATCATACACACTGTACAACTAATTTGCGATATTAATTTGTTTCTCTTTTCTACCTCTACTAGGACATCTTTGTATATATGCCATTATTTTCACACTTCTTAATGGTATAATTATACAAAACTTCAAAATTAATCTAGGTTATTCATTTCCTAGTCTGACCATGTTCTAACCACTGATTCATTTCCATTAGTTAAGGCCTTTCAATAAGGCTGTTCTATGGTTTTTCTTTCCCAGTTCTTGAAATCAAACCTGTGACTTCATGCATGCTGCAAGGTCTCTAAGTCACATCAACAGCACTTTTTAAGCTGTATTTTGAGACAAGGTCTCACTAAATGGCCCAAAATGGCCTCAAACTTGCAATATGCCTGCCTCAGCCTTCCAGGTAGCTGGGATTACAAGTGTGCATCATCCTACCTAGCAAGAATTAATGCTGGCACCAGATGATACGAGTTCCTCTGTACAAACAAGTATGAGGAAAATCATAAAGCAAGTTTTAATTATGTATGTGTGATGGATTAAAAACATGCAGTAATCTACTTCTCCAATTACATTTTTTAAAAATACTCTAGAAATAAACTGTGTCAAAGTACTATGTAAAGTGCAACAACACAAATTACTTTTACATTTTAGTTAACGTGAAATAATTTTATAATTGAAGCTTCTGCATTCCAGTTACACAAAGATACACATGTAGATAATCTACCTTTTCCTTACCTGAATCAATACCAACTGGACCAAATAATTCATGAAGTTGAAAAGCCAGTTCAGGGGGTAATGCCAATTCCAGACAGTCTATGGTCAAAGATTTGGCCATCATTGGTGTGGGATTCAGTAACTCAATTTTGTCTTCTTCACCAATTCCAGCTGACAAACTTCCTTCCATTAGAATTTTCTCCATTTCCTGTTCATCTTCATTCATAAATTCTTCTGTATCTACAAATTTCTCAAAATCTCTTAGAAGATTTTCACTTTTCTTTATGTCAAAATTCTCTGTAAAGTGAACTTCTTTATTTAACTCAAGATCTGAAGTGCTTGCTACACAGTTTGGAGTATCAGACAAATTTAAAGGTGAATGTATAGCATCTCCAGCCTCTGTGGCTACTAGACTATTCTTTATTTCACTTAAATCATTAGGTTTAGGGGATTTTTGAACAGCTGGAAAAGAATGATTAAAGTTACATAAGTCAGAAAATTCTGCCTGACTGTTAGGAAGTACTGCATCATTACTCTTTACATCTACAGTAGCAGCAGGAAATGTATTTATTATTTCAGGATTTTCAGGAGTTATACCTTGTATTTCTGCCTGCTCTGAGTTTCCCTTTTCTGTATCCCAGGTAGGCTGTGCATTACTGTTATTGGTGCTATTTCTGTGAAACTCTGGCACAGAATTAGAATCTTCTAAGGTGCCTTTTTGGCTAGTAACCTCCTTCAACAAATCAGATCCCAAAGAAAATGGCCCAAATTGTGGCTTACCACATGGTTTTCGGAAATTCCCAAATTCTGTATCCTCACACAGTTTAATGTCAGAGTCCAACAGAAGGCTTGTAGTCCAGATAATATCTTTATTACACCTCTCATATAAGTCTTTCAGGGCTTCTAATGAAAAGGATCCAAATAGTTTACAAAGAATGTTAAGATTTTCAGATTCATCAATACTGGTAAGCTCATCTTCCTCAACAAACGTGCTTTTATCATGCATTACCCTATATGGAATTGTTTGTTGAACATTTGCTTTTGTGTTAGTACCGAAAGCTTTCGGTTTAAATCCATCCGATCTTCCTGTTAACATTTTGATAGAATCTGAAACTCTGATTTTATTCCTTTCTATTTTCCATATGAGGGCAAAATCCTGTGGGTCAGTCTGGGTACACGTACCTACTTCTCCTTCAGGGCCTGTTTTAGACCTTTCCCCTGGGAAGTCAGCTAACATCTGTGGTCCTAGTCCTCCAGAAGCCACTGCTACACTGCTAGTAAAAGAAAGAGGCAATGTGTGTGACCCAGGAATCTGCTTATTTAAGTAAGTCTGATTCTCACAGGTCATTTCCCTGGGCATCTCAGAACCCGGCAGAGTAGAGGTACCCAACATTTTTAGTTCTTCAAGGCTTGTACCCCAACAGGTCTCATGTGCTGGGTACAAGGATATTTCATTTATAATGTTATTAGTTCCAAATTCTATCTTGGATTTACTTATATCAACCTTTGGCATTCTTGATCTGTGTTCTCTCTGAGCTAAAGAATCACATGGCCAGTCACCAATAATGCTGAATGAGTTTTCTTCAGTAGGTTTAAAAGTTTCGTATTTATAGCTACTGAACAATTCTGAAGGATCATCACACTGTGACTCCTTTGCACTTTCCTGTGAAGATCCTTGCTGCTGGACAAGATCTGTATTCACAGATACACTATTATCTAATACTGTGCATGACTGTGGGCAATTAAACTTTTTGTCACTTTGTGGAGAAGCTTTTTCAGTTTTCCGGTTCCTTTTCATCCTCTGACCAATAGTCTTCTCAACTGGCCAATCACCAACAAAATTTGATAGCTCAAGTCTTGGAAACTTTTCTTCAGATGATCTGCTTTTTTGTTTCCCAACAGCTTTTTTCTTTACTGTGATTCTTTCTTCTAATATTTCACCAGTTGGAGATTTTTCATTTTGAAATGGTCCCATGTTTCCAAAATCAAATTCATCCTGATTACCTTCCCTGCAGCAAATAGTAGGTGATATTCTCTCTACAGGGCTATCTGAACTGGTTTCAGTACATTCTTTCCTATAGGTTATTACTAATACCTTTTCTTTTTCCCTCTTGTCCGTTGCTTGAACTCTGCTTTCAGAGTCAGAAAGACTTGCTTGAACTCTGCTTTCAGAGTCAGAAAGACATGCGTCTGGAGTTTCCTGAATAAAAGTACTCTGAGTGCTATGATTGATACCACTTAAATCTTCTCTTCCTTTGTCTGAATCTTCATGAGAAAGACATGTAACATTCTCTGGTAACAAGGTTTCTTCAGTCACTTCGAGACTCTTCTCTTCAATGGACTCTAGGTGTGGCAAATATGAAGACAAAACATTTTCTTCTTTTTCAGAGGTATTGTCTTCATTGTCTCTTGAGCTGTAAGATTTTTTTTTAAATATCATAAGAAAGTCTCTCACTGTTGTTATGAACACTATGAGTTAAAGAACTATGTGACTTACCTTGCACACTTAACACACTTTTTTTCTTTTTGAGATAGGATCTCACTATGCAGTTCAGGCCGGCCTTGGGCTCACTTTGTAGCCCAGGCTGGTCTGGAACTTGCAACTATCCTCCTGCCTCAGCCTCCTGAGTGGTACGATTACAGGAGTGCACCACCACACCTGATTTACACACATTCTTTAAAAAAAAATAACTACATTAAAATCATAAATGTCATAGTTCAGTGATATATAATGACATATAGCTCACAGGCAGAGTGCCTAGCGCGTGCAAGGCCCTGGGTTCAATTTCCTTGCTGTAATAACAATATCTGGCTTAATGCTTGGCATATATGAAGCAAACCTTTTTAACTGGAAAGGAAACATCAGTTTTTCAGTTAAGGTGCTCATTATGCATTAAATAGGAAAGTTAAGGCTCTGAATTTCTTCCTAGAGCAGGATATCACCTCCTCACTCCTGTAAACCTATGTAAGAGTAGCACAACACTGGGTTTCCCTTGTATCTATCCACTACTTGTGAAAGCAAGCTTCACGTACAAAGTCACAAAGCACCAATCAACATAATGTGTATGATTATGAGAAATAAGAGAAAGGAAGAAGAGCTCTCACTTGAGCTATCACTTGTTAAATGTTTAAAAACAACCTGGGTGTCAGATTCAGAGCACTTTTGCAGAGTCATTATACTTTTTTCTTATTCAATCTGTCAACTCATCTGTCTTCCTTCCGTCCAAGAACTCTCAAAATTCCAATTCTTTTCTGGGTACCTTCCCAAGAAAATTAAAAGCATCATACCACAGAGATATATGTGCACCCATGTTTATAGCAGCACAACTTGTTTTGAGGTTTAGTCCCACTATGTAGTTTAGGCTGCCTTTGCATTCACTATGTAGCTCAGGGTGGCCTCAAATGATTCTCCTGCCACATTTTTGGGGGGGGGGGGTGTAACAGGGATTGAACTCACAACCTCGTACTTGCCAGGCAGGCGCTTATGCTGCTAAGCTAAATCCCCAGCCCTAGCAACACAATTTGTAATAGCCAGATCTTGGAAATAAACACCCACTGACTGAGAAATGTATATAAAAATATGGTATTTTTATACAATGGAGTACCACTCAGCCATAAAGAAGGTCAAACTGGAGTTCTATAAGTAAATGGATGCAACTTGAGACCATACTCATTAATGAAATAAATGAGACACATGTAGTGTGAGAAGCTAAAAGAAAAAACATATACACGTATTTATAGAATAGTGAAGATGGTTATACTATTGACTTCTCTGAGTTCACTGAAGAGAAAGATTTGTGCTACTCATGTTCAAACAATTGAAAGCATTATGTCTTGTGCTCTGGCTGAGTGATTTGGGTATGACAATGCACACTGTATATACCATTGTTACCCCCTGACTGATGTGTCTTTAAATTCTGTTGTAGCTTTTTTTCTTCTTGTTCTCCTTTAAATAAAATAGGTTTGGGAGACACACACACACACACAAAAAACAATTCTTCCATAAAGTCTTCATAAGTGAAATCATACTTAAAGTTTTTCATGTGCCATATGTTATTCTATACCTTTCACAGTCTTATAATCCATTTGACAGCCTTAGGAGTAGAGTATATCTCTGACATTTTAGTAATGAGCTAAAGTATAGAGAGATTCTGTAACTGCAAAGATTCCAAAGGTTAGGGATCTGAATCCAGGACACATAGCTGAAGTCCATGCTCTTAGCCACTCTGGCACACTGCTTCACATTAAACAGACATTTATAAATTTTCCTCTTCCCCGCTCTCAATTTCTTTTTAACAAAGACTTTCATGCCTTGCCATTGAAAAATATGGCACTTCACACTTCAACTATATCTAAATTCTTATTCATGTATTTGTTCAATTGTTCATGTGTTCTAAGTACTTTATAGAATCAGTACAGATATGGTTGGAACCAGTCCTCCAAAGACCCATGTGCCAAAGTCCTGGTCCTCTGGATAGCGCTCCCAAGAACTGGCGAAAGCAGGAGGACCTCACAGAAAGCCTGAGTGGGTAACTATGAGTGCACCCCTAAAGGGACTGCCTCTTCGTCTCATTTGCTTCGTGGACATGAAGTGAATGGTTTGCTTCTGCCATGCTACACAGTCACACCACAGGTAAAAGCAACTGAGCCAACTGATCAGGGACCAGAAACTCTGTAACTGTGGGTCATAGCAAGTCTTTTCTGTTAATAAGTTGGTTATCTCAAGTATTTTGTTAGTGACAACATGCTAACTAGCACAAGTACTTTCCCAAATTATAAACTTCCAAAGAGTCATGACTTGTATTAGTAAAAGTAAACTATGAATAATTAGTTTTTATGAAACCAGTTTACGAGTATTTTCACTAAAACATTAGAAAATTAAGAAGCAATATGGAAACCAAAATAGTAATAGTAAGGAAATAAGGGAAACAATGTAACAAGGATTATACTATATTCATAGTATAATCACAGATGTACAAAACCCAAGTACAATGAAAAAACTCTCATACCTCTCTGAACTTTGACTTCTCTTGTTAACTTATTTTCAGCTAAATCCAGATGAGACTGTACATACCCATTTAGAAATAACAAGTCTATTTGTTGGAAATAACAAAAGTCTAATTTTTAAAATTAATTGCACTGATTTCGTATGCTGCAAAAGTTACCATTTTTTAAAAAACAGTTTCAAAGTAAGTTTTTGGAAATAAGGCATTTTAACTTACCTGGGACTTTGGCCTTCACAAGAATATGCACACAACTCAATACATTCAATTTTCTCTGGTACTGAAGAGCTCATGATTATAGGCACCGAAACAAAACGCTGATAGTTTTCCAACATTCTTGTTATTTTTTCTTTGCTTATCCCATGAATGTTTCGCCTGAAAAAAACGAAGGAACAAAAGTCTACGTGAATTACTGATAACTGAATTCAAAGGAAAAATAAAAAAAGAATATATAATGTCCAGGGGAATGCCGACACATTTCTTTTTTTTTATAATGCTACCGCTTAAACTCAAGGCTTTACACGTCACCCAATCACTCTACCAGTGAGTTTTACAAGCCTCATTAATAATACATTTCTAACATAAAACAATATCCAAACCGGTTTATTATGACATAACATGTTGGGGACCACAAATTTACAATGGCTAATTTTGCAAAGTCCCTATAGGATAAAATGGAGGTTTGGGATTATAAGTACCACCCATCTGAGATTTCCCATTGACTCTTCTAAGCATAAAATCATCTATGGCCTCTTGAGTCACCCCAGGATTATACTCCAGGACAAGATCCTTCTTCATATGATCATCTACACCTTCTTCAGTCTCAGTCTTCTGCCAAACTGTAATCCCTTGCTAGCCTCACCTATCACTATTTACATCTAATAAATAGTGGCTGCTTGGGAAGTGAAGGAGAACCTATCTGGAGATACTCACTTGATGCATTATTATACTTGCCTCTGTCTTTTATTTTTTCTCACTATACTCTTATAACGGACAATTGTGACTCTTAGCCAAGCTCCTGATGATAACATATACTATGTGATTCTAATTTCCATTCTATCAGGCTTTCTTTTCCAAACACCCTTTACCAATTTAAGAAAAACTAGGTTCCAATAACTAAAAGAAACTGCTCTTAAGCTTTGCACAAAATCTCTAAAGGGTCAGGCATGGCAGTGCATGCCTACATTCCCAGTTCTCAGGAGGTTGAGGCTGGAGGACTGCCTTGAGTTCTAGGCCAGCCTGGACTACACAGTGAGATTAAGGCCGGCCAGCCAGAATTACAGATCGAGACACTGTCTCAAAAAAAAAAAAAAGCCCAATTCCTAAGAATTTATAATCTGCTAAACAGTCATTTCAAAGCTTTAGTTAATTAGAATTTAATGAGTATAAACATCCCACTACAGAGGTTTTTGCTTATGCCAACATGGCAGACTAGAGTACTCAAAGGTGCCCTTATGTCACAATAAAACTAGATGCAATGTAAACTAAAATCAAACATATTATTAATGTTCAAATGGGAAGCTTGTTATTTGTCCATTTACTAATGTTAGCTTATTTCTTTGTGTTAATGAGTACATACATAGTTGAACTTAACATATGGGAATCTTAGGTGTTAAACTAAGGGTGTTTTCACTCATTATACATCTGGATTTGTATCTATTCAGAGGCCAGCTGTGTGGTTTAATCCCTCAAGACGCTTGTCTTAATGAAAGTATTTCACTTGAAACTCTCTTATTCTGGGTTGGATTCAGAGCTCTGTGTCTGAATCCCAGATATAATGAGCATTTGCCTCTGACGAGAAATCTGACTTCCATATTTACCTACCTCAATCTTGTCTGGTTTCAAATCACAGAGAAGCAAAGAGATAGAAAATATGAAAGACAGGTTAAGAAACAAAGGGTAGAGCAAAAAGGTCTATTACCATCCATTCAAAGTCCCAGGAAGATAAGAGAGTGCATAGGACAAAAGCAATTTAAAGAAAAATGCTGTTTTTCAGAACTGAAGAAAGACAACAACCCCAATTTTAGAACTCAAACAAACTCCAAACAAGATGAAATCCATAACCAAAAACACAGTACTGAAAGTGTCATTCACCAAAGACAAAAAGATGAATATTAAAACCAAAAATGTTTGTAAAACTTTTTGAGCTACTTGTCTACAAACATTAATAAAAATAGAAATGAGAAGAGAATTAAATGTAATCTTCCATAATGGAAATGTCAGTCAGTCTAGAATTCATACAGCAAAAAGTATCTGACAAGAATAAGGACAATGAAAGGATCTTCACATTAAAATTTTTAAAAAGGGTTTCACAAAAAAACCTCAAAAAAAGTCTGACACCAACCAGACCTTTACTGGTTTCTTAAGCATCAGGCAGAGGGAAATTTCCAAATGAAAGGTCTACAATGCAAAAAAAAAGGTAAAGCAGTAACAATACAAGTAAATAAAAACAAGCGTTGTCTGTATTAATTGGACAATGATCCCGGGTAAACTGGAAGGGAGGTATCAGAAAATATTTAAAGTCCTTGTATTTGAGGAAGATGGCCAGAAAATGGCTTAACTTTAAAGTTTACATGATAAAAATTATAAGGTAAGCACTAAATAAAAGCATAGTGCATCTAATTATTGCGAAGAAAAAAAAGGTAATATAGATTTGATTTTAAAGATCCAAAACAAAATATAATAGAAAAAAATTCCAACTGCACAATTTTCTGTGCTAGATCACAGAACAGGCTGGGGATGTAGCTCAGTGATAGAGCACTTGTCAAGCATACACAAAGCCCTAGGGTCAATCCCCAGCCCTGTAAAAACAAAAAGGATATTGAAATGTTAAAAGTAAAAATATTAAAAAGGGTATATAACATTCAAATACTAAAAGGTAACTGGTATAATTCTATCAATATTAGACAAATTACACCTCGTAACAAAAATTAAAAGATAAAAGGAAATCACTAGGCAAAGGATAAAAATTTAAATTAATTAAGATAATATCAAAATCTTAAACTCTCATAAACTTCAATAAATATCTGCAGAATACATAAAGCAAACAGGTAAACTGGAAGGGAGGTAGCAAAAAATATTTCAAAGTCCTTTGTATTTATGAGGAAGAAGCTAGAAAATGGCTTAACTAAAGTTTACATGATAAAAATTGTAAGATAACCACTAAAAAAAGCATACTGTATCTAACTATTGGGGGGAAGATACAGATTTGATTTTAAAAATCCAAAATAAAACACAATAGAAAAAATTCCAACTGTTACAATAATAGGCAATCTATTAAGGAAAAACTGACATGTTCAAGATAACAGAGATCTTTTTCAACCTTTCTCCCACCAAAAGATTTCATCATTCCTCTCCAAAATACTAATCAATTGGGCAAATTAAAAAAAAGGCTTGGTGATGTATGCCTGTAATTCTAGCACTTAGAAGGTTGAGGCAGGTGTACTGCTGTGAGTTTGAGGGCAGCCTGGGCTATATAATGAGCTCAAGAACAGGCCAGGCCAGCCAGACCATACAGCAAGACCCTGTTTCCTAAATAATTAGTATGCATTCTTATAAAACACAAATGGAACACTTATTAAAAAGTAACATTTAATGAGGCCACAAAATGTATTTAAAAATACCAAGAGTTCAGGCATGGTGGTACATGCTTATAATCCCAGCACTCAGAAAGGGGAGGCAGGATAGCAGCAAGTTTGAGACCAAACTCAACTACACAGTAAGTTCAAGGTCAGCCTGAACTGCACAGCAAGATCTTGTCTCCAAAAACAAAAGCAAAAACAGAACCTCCCCCAAAGAAGATCAGACAATTAGTATCATGCAAATCTCACAATCTAAACTACTACAATAAAGCTGAAAATCAGTCTTTTAAAAAAGGTAAACATCCAAATGTTAAGGAATTTAAACACAGTTCTAAGTAACTCAAAAGTTAAAAGAATAAAATTAACCATAAAGCAATTTAGACAACAAATAGTAACAAAAAGAGACAAGATTACATATTAAATTCTGAGAGTAGATAAAGAACCACACAGGGAAATTTACGGTATCCAAATGACCAAAAAGAAAAGACTGTATTAAAATTCTAAGAATAGATAAGTAGCACGTTGGAAAGTATATGACATCAAATGATGGTAGAAAATAATTCTTCAGGTAAAAGAAGTTCTTAAAATAACAGAATAAGCAAAGCAAATTATTTTTAAAAGGCAAAGAGCAGAATGAAAAGAAGTAAAAAAGAAACATAAAACTTACAGCAGAAAAAGATCGAGTGAGTCAAGAGTTGTTTATTTGGGTGGGGAGCCTAGTAAATAAAGCCAATCACTGGTGAAAATGATCAAGAAAAAAATGAAGACAAAGTAAACACATTAAGATTGAACAGGAAACCTTAACTGTAATGTAGTAGAGATGTACATGGCAAGGACATTATAATTGTTTTAATAAAACTTTAATAACTTTGATATGATGGGAAACTCCAGCTGAACCTTCTCATAAAGAAAACACCAGATTCAAAGTTTACCAAGTAAATTCTATCAAATATTCAAACCTAAAACTCCAAAGGAGAAAAGAAAAAATACCTCCCAATTCATTTTATGAAAGCAAAACAATGACATTTAAGTCAGGCAAGGAAGATCAAGAAGGAAAAATCTAAAGGTCAATCTTACTCTTTTATATAGATGCAATACAGACATAAAAATCCTAAATGGAATATAGGAAAACGAATCCAGTAATGTATCAAAAGGATAATGAAAAGGAATTAAGTACTGATATATATTACAACAGGGATAAACTACAAAATATTACACTAAGCGAAAGATGCCAAACATAAGAGCCCACATACTACACAATTCCACTTATATACAACATCCAGAATGAGAAAAACTGTAGGAAGAGAAAACAGATGAATGGCTGCCCAAAGGAGGGAGGAACTGGGAGTAAACACTAGCAGGTGTGGGATTTCTTTTTACTGAAGTGTGAATGTTCTGGAATTAGTCACACAACACAAAAAATGTTAGGCTGTCCTTTAGTTATTACTGAAATTACTTAAAATTACCAAGAAGAAAATACCCTGACTAAATTTAAGCTCGGGCTATCTCTAAGGAAATATGGAAGACACAGCAAAAAATACTATATTCCATGTCCTGAATAACAATTTTTATTCAATTAAAGAAACCAAATAAATAAATAAATAAATAAGCCTGGGTGGTGGGAGGGTAAAATATTTGGACATTTGGATATTTTTTTATCTTTTCAATTTCTATCTCCATTTTCTAGTAAATCACTAGCAAGTCCCTGCCAGAAGCACACAGCTCAACTGTGCCAAAGCCTAGGACCTGCTCTAATCTCAGATACTAATGCATCATTAAGAGGAAATAAAGTACTGAGTATATTGAGACAACAAATTTTAGAAACAAAGTTACACATGTAAAACTGGGGAAAAAGCAAACAATATCAAATTTGCTGTCAATTTTTAAGTGGCAAACCTGTAATACAGTCAATATTGCTTCATTCGTCATTTATAAAGGAAAAAAATCTAAATGGACTTTGCACCATGAAATAAAAACATGTTAGAAAGCCTCCAAGTTTTACCTTGCAAGTTCCTTTGGTTTGAACTTCCACCATGTGTCTGGTTCCCGGAAAAGGACTTTATATTTGTGTTTCTGTGACTACAAACAAAACCAACAACATTTTAAAGTAATTATTTTCATAAAATTAATCACATTATTTCCAAGCTTATAGCATGTCAAAAATGAAAGAACAAAGATTTTTTTTGGTACATATGTTAAAGTGATAAAACCTACAATAACCTGTAACCTGGCAATTAATATCCAGTGTTTTTTGAGGCAGGGTTTCATTACGTGGTTCAGGCTGGCCTTGAACTCACTGTGCTCCCTGATAATAATCCTGCCCTCAGGCTCTGGAGCACTGGGATTACAAGTATGTACCACCACACCCAGCTTTAAACAGAATTGTGATATGGGCCTTTGTATGTGCATGGAAGCCTGAAAAGATTCTAAAAACAATATTAAAAGCATTTACCTATAGCAAAGAGGACTTCAGGCATTTTTTTTCTCTTTTTCAGAGTTTGAATATTTATCTTATATATGCATTAACTTTTATAATTTTACAACTACTTCAGAGCTTGGGATGTAAGGAAGTGACAGAGGGCTCATCTACTATGCAGGGCTCTGGGTTTAATCCCCAGCACTGCTAAATTAATAAAGACATGACATTTTTAAATTCTGTCAAATAATACGTTTTTCTGCCAGCTTGCTCTTTACTCCATTTCCTTGCCACTTAGGGGCCTATTTCCCTGCTCCCTTCTGAACGGGAATGAAGAATAGGTTTGCTGTGTTTGTTTTGTTGTTTTAAATGAAAGAGAAGTGGGAAGAAATAAATATGTGACAGAGATTGTATGTGACCTACAAAACCTAAAATCCTTACTTGCACTTAACAGAAAAGTAAGCCTACCAATAAAAAAAAAACCAGCACACATCATGCTATTACAGAATCCAGGGTGGTATGAAAGTAAAAAGTAACTAACTCAGCTATGCAAAAAAAAGCCAGGCATGGTGATAGCACACTCTAATCCCAGCTACTGTGCGGAAGCTGAGGCTGGAGGACCGCAAGTTCCAGTCCTGCCTGGACAGCTTAGCAAGACACTGTCTCAAAACAGGACTGGAGTGCAGGGTACAAAAAGAGCAAGTGCACTGCCATCCAGGCCAGCCTGGATAGTGGGAGGAGTGCGAGTGCTCCGGGCTGGGTATTACAAGGAACCTGGCAAACGGAGGGAATTGGAAATGGTGGTGTTTTCAGAATTGCTCAGAACAGCATTTTTTTTTAAACTGAGTAATAAGGGATCACCAAATTTGGGTTTCGTTTGTTTTGTTGAGACAGTGTTGCACTATGCAGTTCAAGCTGGCCTTAAACTCTTAACGTAGGCCAGTCTGTCCTCAAACTGAAGGCCATCAATCCACGTGTCAGCCTTCTAAGTGCCTGGATTACAGGTGTGCACAACCATAGGACCAACAAATTCTAATTCCTCAAGTAAGAGTATGAAGGCGTATACGTGTATATACATACATACCTAAAAAAAAAAAAATTTTTTTTTTCAGATAGTCTTGCTTGTGTTAAACTCATTATATTGTCCAGGCTGGCCTCAAACTCCCAGTGATTCTCCTGCCTCAGCCTCCTAAATACTGAGATTACAGGTGCACTACCACACCAGCTTAATAGTAAAATTTAATACTACTAGCTTTCCATGAAAGATACCAAAACACAAAACAGTCTTAGATATTAAGGTTTTAATTCTCAATATTTAAAAGCTAAATAAACTTATAATTATGGAAAACTCAGCAATATTATTATTTTGCTCATTTCATTAAAGACCAGAGAAAATTGAGTTAAAGGTAGACCAAAATTCTGAGATTTTCAAGTGCTTGATAGTCACTTATATAAAAACTAGTATCAGTCAATGATTCCAAACGCAGTATTAGCCCAGGCACGGTGGCACACACCTATAATCCCAGCATCCCAGCATTTGGGAGGCTGACATAGGAAGATTGCTGAGTTTGAGGCCAGCTTGTACTACAAAGTAAAGTCAAAGCCAGTCTGAACTGCATAATGAAACCCTGTCTCAAAAAGGAAAAAAAAAAAAAAAACTTCAATATTAGAAATTTATAGTACAAACCAAAATAACATATGGTTTCATTTCCCATGCTTGTAGGTTTGTATTATCAATTATGATTGGTGATATCTTCTTCTCAAATGCTTCTTTCGCTGAAAAATAATAGCAAATGACAAATCATTTTAATATTTTTATTTTGTAAGTATTTAATTTGAAAACCACAGATATTTACAAATTCTACACACTATCTGACATAACTATCACTTCTGAGAACATGAAAAACTAAAGCATAGGTAAAAGTTGAATAACAAATGCAAATAAATACTATAGTTATGTAATAATCAGAGAAAAATTATATCATGGTATATAAAGCAACATGGTATCCTAGATTAGATTATGCAAATGGAAAGGGCATTAGTGCCAGGCATGGTGGTGCATACATGTAATGCCAGTACTTGAAGGACGAGACAGGCAAACTGCATGAGTTCAAGGCAAGCCTGGGCTACACTTCACATTCAAGATCAGGCTGACACAGTAAGATCCTGCCTCAAAAAACCAAAATTAAAGGGCGGAGGGGGACCTAGCAAAAAAGTTAAAATCCAAATTAAGTCTACAGTTTAGTTAATAGTAATATACCGATGTTAATTTCTTAGTTTTGACAAATCTACCATCACTACACCTAAGGTGTTAACATTAGAAGACAATGGGTGAAAGGCATACAGAGGCTCTCTATACCACCTTTGCCAAGTTTTCTCTAACTCTAAAATCATTGAAAAATAAAATATAAACACAAACAAAAAACAGACACAAAATAATGATCTAAAGTAAAACATCACTAAAAAAATGGTAGACTTAATAAGCAAATTAAGTAATGGAGCTGCATACAAAATCAACACTCAAAATTCAATAGCCTTCCTGTACACGAATAACAAACTCACTGAGAGACAAATCAGAGAAACCTCTTTCACCAAAGCATCCAGAAAAATGAAATATCTAGGAATCAATTTAACAAAGGATAGAGAACACCTCTATATTGAAAAGGACAGCACTCTGGAAAAAGAGATTGAAGAGTATACTTAAAATGTAGATATCACTCTCAACATTACTCAGAATTTCCTCCACACTTACCACGATTATGGTTCCATTCATGTGCTTCTTCTAAGTACTTTACATCAAACTGGTATTGCCCATTTATATAAAAATAATCATCAGTACTAAGAATAATTCCAGTTGGATTATCTTGTTGCAAAGTCCTGTTAATGATAAAGATGATTATTTTTATTAGTCATATATAACCTGTATGACCCCAAAAAACTGACCTAAACCAATTCTATTTTGATTTATGCAAATTATTTACATAAATCTAGAGTTAACCATCTACATTTTAAAACTGACAAACTTTGTTTTGTTTTGCTTTTTGTGATGCTAGGGATTAAGCTGAGGGCCTGCCATATGCTAGGCAAACATGTTTCCACCTAGCTACATCTTGTCGCTTTTCTAAATGTTATTCTTAGATGGAAGTCTTGCTAAACTGCCCAAGCTGATTTCAAACTCACAATCCTTCTGTCCCAGCTTCCTTAACAGCTAGCTAGATTACAGGCCTACACATTCAACCTGAATTTAATTTTTATTAGTATCTGTTAAGAGGTAGACATTGTTTTAAAAACTGGGCATTCACTGATGGACAGAAAAGAAAAATTCTCGAGGGCCTGGGATTTAGCTCAGTGGCATGAGAGCCTGCAGAGCAAGCACAAGGTCATGAGCTTGATCCCGGGACCCCTCCTCCCCAAAAAAAGAAATTTTCTTTCACTCATGAAGCTTATATTCTAGTGAATGTTCACTACACGTTGACTCTTATTTATCCTCTTGGAACTGTTCCCTTCACCAAAAAATAAATAAGTATTCCCTTCTCTTCTTTTCCTTTTAGATGGTACATCTGGCAATATAAATCATAAAACCGTTGCCACATGCTGAGACCCCTTTCAACTATTCCCAGCTTTTCTTCTTCCCTTAAATGCTTCAATATCAATGGTTCCTTTCCCTTTGTCTTCTACTCCCACAGGACAACAAAATGGCTCTTTAAAATATAGACTCCAGCCTGGTTTGGTGTCTCCACAGGAGTAATCCTAGCACTCCGGAGGCTGAGGCAGGAGGATCATTGAAAGTTCAAGGGCAGCCTGGGTTACAAAGCGAGTTCAAAACCAGCGTGAACTGCATAGCGAGAGCAGATCTCAACTCTCAACACCTTCTTTCTAACACTCCAAAAGCCTCATTTTCATGCTTCATTTTCCTTGAGCTCAAAAGCTAGCTTAATACTGTGGACCATTCTCACTGGGAAAACCCAGTTTACGTGGCCACACTATTCAGTTATTTCTCTCTTCTTTGAGAAACATTGTTCCTACTTTGTGCTAAGTATTTCTCTCTCTTCCCATTCACAAATGTTAGCTGCCTATGATTTGAAGGCCCTCAAAATCTAATTCTATAAATCTCTCTCAAGACTATTACCCAGGCCCAGGATTTGGCTCAGTGGCACAAGAGCCTGCCTGGCTCCATCCATGTTACAAAAAAAAAAAGACTCTACTACAGCTTAAGGTATTGCCGTCATTCCAATCTCTTTCATAAAATGTAACAGTATAAAACATGTAATATTGAATTGTTTTAATATTGTCATTAAGTCAGTAAGAAAAGCCTATGATACCTCTACAGAAGAATACGGTTATAAAATGCATCAAAATATGTGGAAATTTACAGAAAGTAAATCTACACAAAAGGCCAGGATTTAGCTCAATGATATAAGCACCTGCATGGCAAGCATGAGGTCATGAGTTTGATCCCCGGCACCAAAAATAAATAAATCTAGACAAACCAAAGCTATCGAAAAACAACTAAAAATGCATGAACAAAGTGCATTCTCTATATATCTATGCATACTTTCTAAGACTATATATATCTAGACTAAATATAAAAGACCTAAGTAAAAATTGAGGAATATAAACAGAATGTGAGGGAGACAGGAAGAGAGACAGAGACAGACAGAAAACTATCAAGTAAAATATGTCAGGTATAAACCTCCTGGAATTTAAAGACTAAGAAGGGTGAGAAGGAATTAAGACAACCAGCTTCAACACTGTTGAAGGAGTGTCATTGAAACCATAACAAGGCAAACTCTAACCCTAACCCCGGTCCCTAGCTCAAGGCACTCACAACCCTCCCTTAACCATAAAGCAGACATAAGTAGAGATGAGAAAGTAACTGAGGATGCCAAGTTTTGGGACAAACACATCTCTCAAAGTGTGAAGCTCTCTCACTACCAATGTTCATCCTACACTCTCTTCCTTCAAATAACATTTTTAAAAGCATTATTTAACAACATAGTATATACCAAATTTCAACCAACAGTAGAATTCATGTATTTAAGACTTCACTTCTTTTGTTGTGGGGGGTTTTTGTTTTTTGTTTTGTTGTCTGTTTGAGATGCGGGTCTCACCATGCAGTTCAGGCTGGCCTTTAACTCACTTTGTAGCCCAAGCTGGCCTCAAACTCAGCAATCCTTCTGCCTCAGCCTCCCAAGTGCTGGGATTACAGGCGTGTACCACCACATGCAGCTTAAGACTTCATTTTTATAAGTTAAAAATCATTATGACTTTTAAAATCCATGATCAAAGTTGAATTTCATCTTTCCTGCATTCAAAAAGCTATGTCTGTTGATTTCAGAAGCTCAAATTCTTAAACCATCTTTCATTTTTTTTTTTCTATTCACTCTCAAAAAGTAATAGGGAGGCAAAAGTTCAAAGAAAAAAAAAACTTGTGGAAAAAAACATTGCTATTAGCTAAACGCTAGAAAAACTAGTAAAAAATACTTCAAAGGTTATGAAATATCTCTATTAAATAAAATATGCTAGATGTTCACATTATCTGTTCACACTTATGCATTATATTTTTTAAAAACTTAATTAAAATCTCATACCTTGCCAGGAAAGATTTTCCTGATCCTGGAAGCCCTCTGAGAAGAACAAGCACTAGTCCAACGTAAGTTGTCTTCTTTCTTACAACCTGAGAAACAGCAGCCTCTTGTATTTGAAAAGCACTTGCTCCCTCTTGATTTCGCCATACTTGTGGTGGGGAAGTGTGAGAAATGACTGAGTGTGGAAACGTGTAGCTGACAGGTCTCCAGTGCGCAGCTGGGGTTACGATGGGAGCTATAAAGCCATGGTTTCCTTGAAAGAGGTCAAAAGTGGGAATCATTGGATTCCACATTGGTGGTGGAGGAGGAGGAAGCAGTAAAGGGACAGGATGAAGTACTGGGCAGTAATTCACATTCTTCTCCTTCGGTGGCAGTTCAGTATGTTTGTGCAGTTTGAAATTAAACACTTCAGAAGGTACAAAAACACCAGAGATAGAAACAGATTTCTGACCCTCACCTGTACCTGCTAAGTCAAGCTCAGGATTTTGCAGCACAGTAAGGTTTAAAGGACCCTGAGGTACATTGGCATCCAAATCTACAGGGGCTGGAGAGAGCTGAGTCTCAACACAGTTGGAATCTAAAAGCACCTTCTGTCTTTGATTAAGACTGCTACAATCCACAATAGAGTCATCTGCGAGATTTAAAGAACCACTGAGAAGAGAATCTTCTGAATAGCTATGTTCCAGTGTTAATGTGTTATCCTTCATAAAACTTTTGGCCTCATTCAAAACTGAATGTGAAGTTAATGGTTTTGAATTTAATGCAGAGGCAGAAATCTCTGAATTTTCACTGTTCAAATCTAAATTTTGTGTAGAAAGAATAGTTGTCATACTATCTGAATGTGAATTTGTAAACTGACTGGAATTATTAAGACTATTAACATCTTGCAAAGGCAAAACTGATACTTGGTCATCAGAAGACGTGTTCAACTTCTCAAAAGCATTCTCTATTAAGGAATCCAAGTCGTCGGTTAGCTGCATATCCAAAACTGAATTCAGTTTTGAATCTTCACTCTCTTCTTTATGTGGACACTTTTCCATTATTTCACTTTCTGTTTCTCTTAGCTGGTTCTCAGAAGCAACAGAGGCTTTTGAAGATGGTTCTTCTACCTTGGTATCAGTGGCAGATAATTCTAACAGACAGTCCATGGCATTTTCAACTGCACAAGAATAACAACAACAACAAAAGTAAGATATAACTTTCTTGAAAAAAAGCTAGATATAACCTTATTAAAAGGAAAAATAATGGATTTTGGTGCTGAATGTAATACAGGAAGACTGGTAATATTCAAGTCATTTTTTAAAAATTACTATTTTGTTAATAATACACCAAAGTCTACATTACTGAAAAGTTCCAATGTTGAGAGACATGCAACGTTGTTCTTCCACTCAAGACAGTAGTAAAAAGTTATCAAGTAGATATTCTTTAATTTATTGAGTAAACATATAAACATCTGTAATTGAATGTATTAGGGTTATTAATAAAGGTCCTAATACCAGTTCATTTATTCAACCACTTACTGACTTATATATGGTCCATGCTATGAATTTTACTTTATACGAAGAATATTTATGAGCATATGCTACTTATCAGGAATACTTTGTACCTTGTGTTTACTACACTCAAAGGATTTTGCAGTTTAGTAGAAAGTGAAGACAGTTATGGTACAGTGGTACCTTAGCTCACAAACTGAATTCATTCCATGGTTCAGGAAAGACAGCCATATTTGCGTTCATGCGGGAAAGATGCCCACAGTCCTGTTTGTTACCTGATGCCGAGCTCACAAACAAAACAAAATCTTGCCAAATGCTTATTTGTAAACTAAAGTGTTTGCAAATAAAAGCCTTTGTGAATGAAGGTACCACTATACAAGATGATTCATCATAATATAGATTAAATAATGTACTTTTGATAATACATAAATGCCATAGCAGTATTTAGGTGACAAAGGAAGGTTTCACATAAACTGATACGTAAACTGGCACTTGAGGATAAACAACTTGCCAGACAGAGTAAGAGGAAAAGCCAAGCTTAAAAAGTGTGTTTAAAGGCGTTAAAAGAAGTCAGTTGAGGAGCAGGCACACAGTGCCATGTATAGTAGATCAGAGAAGATAAAACTGGAGAGGAAGACTCAGCTAAACTGGGAATGGGCCTATGTGTCATGCTAAGAAATATGAATTTTATTTACTAAGGGAACTTGAATGAAAATGACCAGTCATCACATTTGGCCTAGAAGTTTTATACAAATTACCTCACTAAAACCTCAAATAATACTGTGAGGTATAACATCCTAACAAATAAAAAAAGAAAATGAAGCTCAAAAAATACATTACGTTACACAGGCAGTAAGTGACAGAGCCAGCACTAGTGTGTCTGACTCCAAGGCTGAGCTTTTTCTGTTCTAACAGAAATAATAATTGAGCCATTAGAATTTTTAAGCATTTGAGGGCTAAGGATGAAACTCAGTGGTAGAGTACCCAATAGAGTACCCATAAGGCCCTTGGATTCAATCATGAGTACCACAAGGATGACACTGATGATAATAATATTCAGACATTTGAAATCTGTGTTTCTTAAATTTTAGTTTTGTGTTATGTTTCATTTTAAGGAAGACAAATCTATTAAAGGCATAGCATTTAGTTAATAGCTCTGGTCTGGAGTCAGGACACCAGTATTTAAATCCCTACCTGCTGGCTATGACACTTTAAACAAGTTAGCTAACCTCCCTAAGCCCCGCTTTTCTCACTTGTAACATGGGGATAATAAAAGTACCTACCTCATATGTTGTTGTGAGGATTAAATGAGATAATCCATGAAAAAGTGTTGTGCACAAGGACTGGCACCTAGTAAGCACCCAATTAATGTTCCCTTAAGAAGAAAAACAAAGAGGAATTGGAGGGGCAAGCCTGGCAGATAGACCATTTAGGAGATCACAGCAATACTACAAAGGCAAGAAGCCCTAAAAATGGAAAAGTGGGGTAAAATGAAAAAGAAAAAATGCAAATGTAAGAAGTACTTCTATGAAAAAATATGCATAATGGAAAACTCTGAAAAGACCAACTGAAGAAAATACATATAAAAATGAAGAACAGCATTAAGTAAAGTAAGTAAAAGATCAAGAGAAATAATCACACAAAAAGAAAATTCCTTAAACAAATTATTGGAAAAAAACACTTATGAAATCAATCGAAAATAAAGAATGAACAATTTATAAGAGAATGTAAGAATAAGAAATCATGTATGAAAATGTTCAATGATCCCCTTTATGAAAAAAAAACAAATTAAGAAAAGGTACAATTTTATTCTTACTACAATCTTAAAATAATTCCACACAGTGCTGAAGAGGCCAAGGTGAAAGCGCTACACTTACACAGTGCCAGCAGTATTACAAATCTGCATACCTCACGGTGGGCAACTTAACAATACATTTCCAAAAGCTGAAAACCGTTCTTAGGCTGCGATGCAGAAATTAAAACTTTGGGACAAAGAAAAGAAGCCAAAAGGGAGAAAAGGCTATTTTTACTAACATGTTTTTTACAATATTATTTATGAAAAATTTAGGTATAAATAAGTAAAGCACAAAACTCATAGCACTATTAGAAAACGACTAAAATATAGATTATAGCAACAACTTTAAAAGATTACATATTAAATTTTAAAAGGCAGAATATGAAAGGTGATTAATGATATTATTCAAACCACACAAAATATCAAGTGTTTATAAACAAGTGTTTTTAAACAGACTACAGAAGATCCTGAAAAAGAGAAATAAATTCTTTGTTAGGATATTAGATAATACAGTTTTCTTATAAGTCCCCATTACTATGTTAATTTATATGTAACAAATTTTAAAGACATAAAAATTAGGAAATGTTGAAGTAACAACAGAACTCTATTATTCAGTCATTCTAAACAACAAAGTACATTGCAAAAACTGTTTTGTGTATACCAGAATATATAAGATACGCTCGCATCACAGCTCACACACTAGAAATGAAACCTTTATCACATATTACCAAAATCTCCAAATGTAGAGTAATTTTATCTTACAATAATCATGGCCAAGCCAAGTGAGATGGCACACACCGGTAATCCAAGCACTTGAAGGCTGAGACATGAACATCACCTTGAGTTTGAGACCAGTCTGGGGCATACAGTAAATTCAAGGCAAGTCTACACTACATAGGGGGTCACTGTTTCATAAGAAAACCAAGAAACATGATGCTAGGCATGATAGTACATGCCTACAATCCTAGCACTAGGGAGGCTGAGGCAGGAGAATCACAAGGAAGAGACCAGCCTGGGCTACAAAGTGAGTTCAAGGCCAGCCTAAACTGTACAGTGAAAGCCTGTCTCAAAAAGACCCTAAAAAAACCCAAAAATTAAAAAAATAAAAATAAAACTAACAAAATTAACAAATAAAATTAATGGCCAATAACAATACTGACTCTTAACAATTATTCATCTAGTCAACTTATCTAGGCTTTCCTGTGTGTAAGCATGCTTTTAAACAAGTTAGTACAAGTCAATCCTCACCAAAAAGTCCTATAAGGTACATACTATTACTTTTCATTAATAGGTTAGAAAACTGAGGCTTAGAGATATTAGTGGCAGAACTGGAAATCCAAAGCCAGGTCTCCTGACTCCAAAGGCAGTATTTCAAAACCATACTACTTTACTAGCTTCAATCTTAATCAGCTTTTCTTTGCACAAATACTAGCCGCTACTAACTCCTAGTTGTCATTTTAAGGGCTAAAAAAAACAGAAATAGAGCAATTTTTAAAATATCTATATTCATTGAGCTTATAGTCTAGGACTCTGATTCTCAACCAGGTAATATTAAAGAAACACTTTTTTTCTTTTGATAATGTAAAGAAACATTTTTTGTCATCACAAATAGGGGGCTGGAACACTTCTGGCATCTAGTGGGTAAAGCCAGGCGTGCTAGTAAATATTCTACAACGCATAGGAGAGCCATTCCCAGAAAGAATTATCCAGCCCAAAATGTTAGAGTGCCAAACTGTGCTAGAAGAAAGATTAAAAAAAAGATGTAAAAGATATCTATAGCTACATCTTACATCTAGAACTGTACATTTCTTAAGAGCAGAAACTATGCATTATTTTTCTTCATATCCCTCATAATCCCAAACTTGGTATCTTGCCCAAGGCAGATGCTTAATAATGAACAAAAATAAGACTTATTTTTCTGTATCACTATTAGTCTTATATAGTACATGAAGTCTTCTTATAAGATGTAAAGGGTTCAAACTAAACTTTTTCTCACCTTCGAAATCACATTCAGAAAGCATCAAATACACTACATCAGGATCCAGATCAGAAAACATCTCTGAGATACTGGTGAAGAGTTCTTCCTGATCAATTTTCGTCTCACGCACAGAAAGAAGAGCAGTAGTTGGTGCCCCACGACTAGCAACACCGGACACAACTTCCTTAGAGTTTTCAGTCTTCCGAAAAGGGTTTCCCCCAAGATTTTTCCTTTTCCTTGGCATTTTGATTTGCAAAACTAAAATGCTTCCCTTTGATAAAATTTAAGATGTTTGATATTTAAATCATAATTCAAAAAAAATAGGGTTAAAAATCTTGCACAATCCAGCAGTAATAGGACCTAAAATAAAAAGCAAGTAAAATCACTCAGACTATATAGTTATATTTCTATTTCTATTTCCAAAATTGGGGTGACAACTTTTATTTAACTCCAAGAAAATGGCAGTGAAGCCTAAAAGTGGTCAAACAATTTCTCTCAAATTATTCCAGTTTTGCCAGGATGGAACATGTTAAAATTTAAGATATTAACAAAGTGTAACATATTTCAAGAAAGTGAGTACATTGTTTTATATTAGTAATTCTTTTAAAAACATACATCAGCATCCATAAATGTAGACTACCAATTGAACGCTTATGCTCAGATGTTTAACTGGCATCATAAACTTAACACATCTAAAACTGAGCTTCTGATTACCTGTCTTCAAGCCTGCTTTTTCTAATCTTTCAAAACTCAGTTAATGTAATTCTATCCATCTAATTGCTAAAGTCCTGAGTCTTGGAATAATCCTGACTTCTCTCATCCCATATCCAACTGTTAAGCTCATTTTGCAAAAACAACCCCCAAAACATATCCAGAAATGACCGTTCCTTACGTCTCCACTCTAACTGTAGAGTGCCACACTCTTGCCTCCATTACTCTAAGATTCCAATCAATTTTCCCCTTTCTATCATTGTCCCTTTTGTCTGTTTAACACTGCAGGCAAAGTGATTCAATTAAACTGCAGATTGGATCCTGCCTCTTTCTGCTAATCTGTCCACCAGTTTCCCATCTCAGGATGAAAGGCTACAGCCCAGACACTGGTGCCTCTGTCCTTACTCTCATTCCCTAGCCCTCTTTCTCCTGCTCATGCCACTCCATGCATGCATACTTAGTCTCTTCGCTCTTCTTCATCGTATCAGTCACATTCTCCCCTTGGTTCCTTCTACCTGAACTACTCTTCTCCCCACTATTTCCTCCCTACCTTCTTATCACTGCAAGGTATGCCACTATCAGAGATTCAGTTCCCCAACCATTCATTAACCCTCTTTCCCTACTTCCATAGCACCTGTCTTCTGACATGGTATATGTTTTACTGTGTTTATCATTGTTAGTCCAGTAAAAGATAAGCTCCACAAAGGCAGGAATCCATGTATCTGGCGTAGAACTGCCACCTCCTTATGATCTGTTTGCATGTGTCTAGTAACATTTTGAACTTAAAGTACCCAAAATCTGGTATCTTCCCCAAAATCTGCTCTATTTGGTCTGACGACCATCATCTTTCCTGTGTTTCTATCTCCTGACTAGTCTTTTTGCTTGTACCCTTGTCCCCGACATTCTATTTTCAACATAACAACCAGAATGATTAGGATTTTCCCTAAACCCTAAGTTGTTACAATGGTCTGCCTCCCTGCTAGCACTAGAAATACTCTTCCCCTTCTCTCTTTCAAATCCTCTGTTCAAGTATCATATTCAATCATTTCCAATCCTAACTAGCCAACCGAAAATCAAATACCCCAATCCCTTGGCCCCGATTTCCCCCTTCCGCTATCACCCATTACCCTTAATCACCTCCTACATAAAATTTACCTTTTTATTAAATTTGTGTCATAACTCTCTCCACCTTCCACAACTGCACTGTCAACATAGCATCCACCAGCCACATGTGCCTATTTAAATTAAAATTAAATAAAATCACATTTTTATACATAAGAATTCAAAACAAAGAAAAGTAACAGAAACAAAAAAAAGACATTACATAATGATAAAAGTATCCATCCACTAGGAACATGGAGCAACCCTAAATGTCTAAATATCAAACAACTAGCTACAAAACAGGTGAAGAAAAAAAGTGACAGAAGTAAAAAGAGATAATTCATTACAGTTAGAGGTTTTAATTCTGCTCCATTAACAATTTATAAAAACTATTAGAAAATCCCAAGTACACAGAACAAAACAACAATAATAATTAAGGATGTAGTCAACACTGCATCTACAGAACATTTCACCTAACAGCCCCAGAATACACGTTCTTTTCAAACACCCATAGAACCACTATCAAGAAACAGTAAAATCTAAGCTGTATAATAAACCTTAACAAACTTAGAAGTACAAAAAGCAGAGTACCTCCTTCAACTACACAAAATAGAAGTAGAAATGAGTAACAGACAGATAACAGGAAAATCTTCAAACAATATACTTCTAAACAAACCATGGGTCAAGAATGACATCTCAAGGAAAACTGTTTAAATATACTGAAATAAACGAAAATTGAAATACATCCCTTAAAATTTATAGGATATATTAAATAGGAAAATTTTTATTAAGTAGTGAGAATGTCTACTTTAACCACTTTTTATTCAACATAATAATGGAAGATCTAGCTTGTGAAACTAGAAAAGGGGAAAAAAAGTCTCCAATCAATAATCTAAATCTCACCAAGCCTGGGGCACATTCCTATAATCCCAGCCCTCCAGAGGCTGACATACAAAGAGCACTATGAGTCTGAGGCCAGCCTGGGCCACACAGTGAGGTCAAGCCAGTCTAAACTACATAGCAAGACACTATCTCACTTTAAAAAAAAATTCTAAGTTTCTATCACAAGAACCTAGAAACACATGTGCAAAATAAACTCAACTCAGCAGACAGAAAAAAGGATAAATGAAAGAACAGGTATCAGTGAGACTGAAACAGGAAAAAGAAAACAGAAAATGAATTTTAAAAACTACTATTCACTGGTCAATAAACTGACAAATCTAGCTGAAAGAAAAATGAGAAAAGATACAAATTCCCAACATCAGGAATGAAGCAGGTATCATTACAGATCCTACACACATTAAAAGGCTAACAAAGGAAAAGATTAACTCTACACAGAAAAATGTAATGGCTTTCATAAAACTGACCAGTTTCTCCAAGATATACACTATCATCACTCACCCAATAGAAAAAAAATACATATATATGATTATTAATAAAATTCACATTCTTAAAACAAAAATCTAGGACCAAATGGTTTGAATAGAGAATTCTAACATTTTGAAAAATTAACACTAATTCTATAAAGCATCTTCAAAAAAAAAAAAAAAAAGAAAAAACACTTAAGAGGCTTTTACTATCCTGATTCACAACCAAACAAAAACAGTACAAAAACAAAATTTATCCACCAGTATCCCTTATGACTGCAGATACAAAAATCCCTCACAGAAACCAAAAGTGTAAATACGAACCGTAATGTACAGTAGATATTGGGAAGTAGCAAGAAAAAGTTAAAATAGGAAGAGCAACTAGGGAGGGGGGAGGTAGAAAGGAAAGAAACAGAAAGGAAGGGAAAAGAAAAAAAATGGTGAGAAAAATGGAAACAAAGGTTTTGTAATCAGGAGGGGAAGAGGGATTGAAAAGTGGGAAGGGGGGGGACCAAGCTACATCATGTACAAGTACAAATTCCCCATGATGAATGTGATCATTATATATACCTAAAATATACCCAATAAACAATTCAAATAAGAAAAAAATCCTCAAAAAAACTAAAAAAATCAACCAGCTATTCCCTTTCTTGGTATCTTCCCAAAAGAATTAAAAGTATCATACCACAATGATATATGCACACTTATGTTTATAATACCTAAAATCTTGGAAATAACCCAAGTATCTATGAATCTATGAATGCATAAAGAGGAGGAGGAGGGTCAGGGATTTGGCTCAGCAGCACAATTGACTGCTTGGCAAATGCAAGGTCATGAGTTCAATCCCTGGTACCCAAAAAAAAAAGAGAGGTGGAACACAAGGGAGTACTCCTCTGCCTTAAAGGATACACTTGAAGCATTTCTAGCTAAACAGATGCACCTTAAGGCCCTACTCTTAAATACATCAGACATATGTGTGTAAATATCAAGATTTCTGTAGTGTGAGAAACCAAAACTGTAAATAAGGACCAAAAGGTATAAGAGATAATGTGAAATGGAAGAAAATGAGAAGGGTATGGAGTGGAGAGGGAGGAAAAAAGGGACAACAGAAAAAAACAGTAAGAGGAAAACATGGAAACAAAGCTTTTATAAATAAAAAGGAGTAGGATTGAAGGGAGGGTAGGGGAAAAAACAAAAAGAAAAAAAAAAATATCGCTACCTTTAAAAAAATCCTCGCAAAACATTAGCAAATCAAAGTCAAGTATATAGTTTACACATATATATACATATATAGTTTATGTATTATGTAAAGAATTATATACTACAAAGTAGAATCTATTCTAAGAATGTAAATGTTCAATATTTAAAAATTAGTGAAAACTACTACATGAACAGTGTTAAGAAAAAGTTAAATAACACAGGAAAAATGTCTGGCAAAATTCATTACCAATTCAAGATAAAAAAAACCATCTCTAGTAAAACAGGAATAGAGGGATACTATCACAACTCATTAAAAAGAATCTACAAAAGATTACAACTAACATTATACTAGGTGGGAAAATACTAAATACTTTCCTCTTAAAATCAGAAAAACAGTAAGGATATGTACTTTAGCCACTTTTATTCAACATAAGCTGGAGGATCTAGCTAGTGAAGTAAGATTTAAAAAAAAAAAAAGGAAGTAAAGCAGGCTGAGGCAGGAGGATCACTGTGCGTACGAGACCAGCCTGGGCTACAAAGTGAGCTCAAGGCCAGCCTGAACTGCATAGCGAGACCCTGTCTCAAAAAGACAAAACAAAACAAAAAAAATTTTTAAGTAAATAAATTAATTAAAAGGAGGCAAAGCATACATAAAAAGAAAAGAATAACAGCACCTGTACTGGGCCAGGGATTTAGCTCATTGCCATAAGCACCTACCTTACAAGTGCGAGTTCAATTCCCAGTACTAAAAAAAAAAATAATGCTTCTATTTGCAAATGACATGATTATACACAAAATGGTAAGGAATTTACAAAATCTCCAACTAGTAAGATCAGCAAGGTTAGCCAGCTGTGGTGGTACACATCTATAAGTTCGAGACCAGACTGGGCTACAAAGTGAGCTTGAGACCCCTGAACTGCATAACGAGACCCTGTCTCACAAAGACAAAAGACAAAAAAAGATCAGCTAGGCTGTAGGACACAAATTAAGCATACAAAAAACACAATATATTTACTAGCAATGAACAGATATGGAAATTAAAATACAGTATCATTCACAATCACTCAAAAAATGAAATACATGTACTAATCTGACAAATTATAGAGTGGATGAGATCAGCCCAACTTGAAGAATCATAAAATGCATTTAGGTGATTATGGTATCAGTAAATAACAGATACACAGACCTGATAACAGATTATAGATCTCAGAACACAACAGAAACTCCAGAAATGCACTAACAAATACACTCCAAAGGTTTTTTCATGATACTGGGAACTGGATTCAGTATCATACCTAACCCTCCACCTTTTTTTCTGAAACAGGGTCTCACTAAGCTTCCTGGGCTGGGCTCAAATTTGCAAGCCTGCTTCAGCTACCTAGAATGCTGGGACAACAGGAAGGTACCACCAGCTTGCCAAATGGCTCCTGACAAAGGTGCAAAACTAAGTCAACAGAGAAAAAATACAATCAATGATGATAAATGATACAATGGATGATGGAGTAAGTGGATACCCATAGGTGAAAAACTTGATCTTCATCTACAAACTTCATCGAAGAGTTACTCGGGATGGACCGAAGCTTTAATATGATACAAAACTATGGGCTGGGGATATAGCTCAGTGGCATAGTACCTGCTATGCAAGCACAAAACCCTGAGTTAGATTTCCAGTATTAAAAAAAAATACACAAAGATATAACACTATGACTTTTTGAAGTACTAGGGATTGAACCTCGGGCCTTGCATATGTAAGGTAAAAATTCTACAACTGATCCACATCCCCAGCATTTTTAATTTTTTTTTTTAAAAGGGTCTTGCTAAATTGCCCAGGCTGGCCTCAAACTTCTATCTTAGCCTCCTGAGTACCTCGACCTAGAAGTAGTCACTGTACCTGGTCACTATAAAACTTTACAGGGAGGAACCAAAAAAACAAGGAGAAAATTTCAGCTTTTACAGGTAAGAAAAAGCACCAAAAACATGATCTATAAAATAAAACAAAAACCATATAATTTTTACTGCACCAAAATGGGAACTTTGTGGTATATACTTGTAATCCCAGTACTTGGGAGGCAGAGGCAGGAGGATCACAAGGAGTTGAAGCCAGCCTGAACTATATAATGAAACCTCGTCTCAAAAAAAGACAAAAAGAGCAAGCGGCAGGCGACCCAGGGAGAAAACCAGGCAGCCGGCATCGCCCAAGATCCCAGCCATGTTGGAACTTAGGGTGCTGGACAACAAAGCAACCCACGCAGCGGTGGGGGCTGAAAATCAAACATCCCATCCTTCCCCAACCCCAGTAACAAAAGAGAGCCTGAGGTCTGAGCATCTCTTGGGAGGATGACTTATGCAATATAGCAAATATGAGGGGTTTCTTTCACCATCTCTTTGAAAGCGAATACCATTATCACTGTTTCACTCTGTTCTGATTTATTGCTCTATTCACTACTCTGTTATGATAGGCCTTATCATGTTCTGTATTTGGTTTGATTTTGCTATACCTGATTGAAAGGACAAATATTGTGAAGATAACGAGATATACTGTGATACCTATTACTGTTATCCCGGTAACCTGCTGTGAAGTTCTATACCAAATTCACTGCATTGTCTTGATTGCCTTTATTCTGTCTTGTTCTGTTGTATTTTACTACCTTCAAAATAAGAAAATTTGGGGCTGGGGATTTAGCTCAACGGCATAAGCGCCTGCCTTGCAAGCAGGCAGTCATTAGTTCGATCCCTGGTACCAATAAAAAGGAAAAAGACCAAAAAATAAATAAATAAATAAATAACAAAATAAAAAAATTTTTAAAAAGACAAAAAAATAAACAAACAAGAACTTTTTAGTGGGCTTGATGGCACACCCCTGTAATCCTGGGATTGGGGAGCCTGAGGTAAAAAGATCCCTGTGGGGGCTGGGGATTTAGCTCAGTGGCATAAGCACCTGCCTTGCAAGCCTGCAGTGTGGGTTTGATCCCTGGTATCGATTTTAAAAAAAAGACCCCTGTGAGTTCAAGGCAAGGTCATCCTGGAATACAGCTGCAACTTAGAGATGTTTAAACTACATAATGAGACCGTTTCAAAAAAACAAAAGAAAAACGAAATTTTGCTCCACAAAAGACACCTTAAGAAGACGGAAAGACCAAAAAAAAAGATGATGAAAGGACAGGCCACATTTAGGAAAAAAAAATATTTACATACCATATGAAAGATTCTTGCCCTAGAATAAATTAGGTTATGGCGGTGGTATAACGTGGCAGAAAACCAAAGCGGGACGCCTACCACTTCCTGCTTCTTCCTCAGCCTTAATTACAACTCCCCTTCCTGTTTGCGTGAAGAAAACTCCAATCAGCTCCTCAGCCTCATCAATGCCCGCCCTAAGCGCCACCCCTGGGCAGAGATAACATACAGATCCCATACCCCGCGTTCCAGCAGAGACCTGGCCGCAGGCGGTCATGGGTATCGCTCCACCTCCTGGGAGTAATGGCTATTTTTACTTTATATTCTCTCTCTTATCTTGCCAAAAACTCTTTCACTATATACTTGCCAAAGGACTAGTCCCAAGGATATATAAAGAACTGAAATGCCCAGACTGAGCTGTGAGCTCAAATCTGTATTCCTCCTACCTCAGCCTCCTAAGTAGCTGGGATTACAACACTGCCACCACGCCCAGCTCTACTGCAATTTTATCCAGAAAAACTCAGAACTGAAAACAACTCACATGTCCGTCAATGAATGAAGAGTCAAACTAAGATACACTCACTCCATAAAATACTAGTCAGCAAAAGAAAACCAGCTAGGGGGCTGGGGATTTAGCTCAGCGGCATAAGCGCCTGCCTTGCAAGCAGGCAGTCGTAAGTTCGATCCCTGGTACCGATAAAAACGAAAAAGACAAAAAAAAAAAGGAAAGAAAGAAAACCAGCTAACATTTTTTGTAGTTTTTTGTTGTTGTTGTTGCTATGTAGCTCAGGCTACCCTCAAATTCATGGTAATCTCCTGCCTCAGCCTCCCAAAAGCTGTAATTACGGACATGCACCACCATGCCCAGCTTCAACTCCCACTCTGACCACACAGAATCCTGGATGAAATTCCAGAGAATTATATACAATGAAAAAAGTGATATACTGAATGATTCTACCTGTGCAACATTCTTGAAATGACAGAATTACAGAAAAGGAGAACAGATCACTGGTGCCAAAGCAAAAGTAAGAGGAGGTCCATATTAAAGAGCCACTTGAGATTTCTGTAACTTAATGTGAATTTCCTGACTGATCTCCTACTATATTTTTACAAAGATGTTACCATTAGAGGAAAAAGAAGAGAGGAGGAGAAAAAAAGAGGCAAAGTAAAAGCAATAAGGACACAGATTTCAGTCATACAATAAACATTTTATACACACACACACACACATATACATATATATTGTACAAGGAATCAAACACAACCTTGAACTTACCAGGCAGGTACTGTGCCGCTGAGCTACCACCTCAGTCTTCTATAAACCTAATTTGACTTAATATCTACAAAACAGTGAATTTGACAACCATAGACTATACTTACTTTTTTTTTGAGGGGGTAGGTACCAGGCATTGAACTCAGATCTCACACTTGCTAACTTTATTTTCAAATTCACATGGAATTATGCTAGACATCACTAGCAAAAATAATTAGAATCTAATTACAGTAATTGAAATTGAAACACACTTCTACATGTGAATTGAGGAAGAACTCACTACGTTAATTAGAAACTTGTGAACCAAATAATTTTATATATCCAAATTTGTGGAATACAATTAAAACCATGCATAAAAAATGATATATATAGAAATGTGTATATTAGGGGCTGGGGGTTTAGCTCAGCGGCATAAGTGCCTGTTTGGCAAACACGAGGTCATGAGTTCAATCCCCGGCACCAAAAAGAAAGAAAGAAATTTGTGTATTAGAAAAGAAGAATAAATCCAAGCATAGTGAAACAAGCCTACAGAGGCAGGAGGATCACAAATTTGAGGCCAGTCTGGGCAACTTAGCAAGATTCTGTTTCAAAAAAAAAGGGCTGCAGATGTAGCTCATCAGTAGAACACTTGCCTACCATGTATAAGACTCTGGGTTCAATCGCTAGTACCACAAAAAGCGGAGAGGGAGAAGGAGACCGCAGAGGGAAAGGGAGGAAAGGAAAAGTGGGGGGGGGTGGCAATCAAAATATCAAAATCTGATATCTTTTATCTATTAAAGGAATAAAATCTGTACTTTAAAACTTTCCCAAAATTAAACCCCAGGACTAGATGGTTTCATTCTTTCTAGGAATGAAGTAAAAGAGTATAAGACAGATACTACCGATAAAAAGGAAAAAGACAAAAAAAAAAAAAAAAAAAAAAAAGACAGATACTAAAGTTTCATGAAGGTGCCAAGGGAATGTCACTAAAAAACACAAGTTTTTCTCTTTCCTTTTTTAGACAGAGTTTCACTATGCAACCCAGGCTGGCTTCATACTCGTGGCAATCCTTTTGCTTTAGCATCCTCCTGAGTGCTAGAATTATAGGCATGTGCCACCACATCTAGCATTAAAAAAGATAGTATTTACAGAAAATGTGAACTGGGGCAATCTGCCACTGAGCTACATCCTTATTTTTTATTTATTTGTGTATTTATTTATTTTGGAGACAGGGTCTTGCTCAGTTACCCATGAGACTCAAATTTTCAACTCTCCTGCTCCAGCAAGTGCTGCGATCACGGGTACGCATCACCATCTTACCTAGCATTAATCATCTTAAAATATATCTACATGTCAGAAAAACTATAACTGATAACTGAAGATATTTTAAATATTGATGCAAAAGAATATGGTTAAATTATGGCCAAAATCCCTCTTTGAAATGTCATGGTCAGTAATGTAGCTCAGCAGCATAAGTGCCTGCCTGGCCAGGATAAGGTCATGAGTTTGATCCCCAGTACCAAAAAAGAAAGAAATGTCATGCAGCAGTTAAAAAGGAATAAAGTGGTATGTAGAAATCAGAGCTCTGAGATACACTATTAAATATAAAAGCCAGTCAGACATTGTGGCACATGCCTATAACCCTAGCACTTGGGAGTCTGAGGCAAAAGGATCACTATGAATTCGAGGCCAGCCTGGAAGAGAAAGTAAGTTCAAGGCCAGCTTAAACTACACAGAGAAACCCTTTCTCAAAAAATAAATCAAATAAATAAATGTAAAAGCCAGTTGTTAAAAAATACATGGCATTTGGCTAAAGAATGGCAGGCAGATGTACTTCTCTATAATCCTTCCACATTTCCTATAACCTTCTCGCCTTACTGTAGTACTGACCCTCCTTAATTATCTCAAGAGATTTCCCTTGTTGCCTTTACTGACATATTTTCTCCACCCCACTCCGAATGGACATGTTTTCAACCTGATTTGTCTCCTTGGTCATAGTCCGAAAGGACTCAGAGAAGCTGTAATAATATGCAGCCCAACTTCATCTCCACCTTCATGGAAAAGGACTGTACATCACAGGCAGAGCTCTGTGCTTCCCTGAACCACCCCCATAAAGCCCAGGGAGAATGACCTCCCAGACAGCCACAAGGAACTACAATACGTTCATCTGCATGAGTTGAGCTCTCCAGCTAGCTGTGCTCTTTGAAATCATGGATTTAAGTATTGTTCCATACCAAATTATTTGTGAATAGCTAATGAATGACATATAAATATGAAAGAGCAAGAAACGGCATTTTAGGGAGAAAATAAAATGCTCTTTAAGTGGGGAAACTCATTAAAACACAGTTCTTTAGATGCTTTGAGTCAATATATTTTACACCACCCCCAGCTCTTTTAGAAATTCTACTAACAAAAATCTGAGATTACTTCCCTTTCCATGAGAAATTTTTCTTTTAATCACTCAAATGTATACATGCAAGCTTGAAAATGTGTAAAATATTCATTCATGCCTTCGATTTTCTATGTAAGCGTGTTGCTAGGGATTGAACGCAGGGCCTCACCCATGCTAGCCTAGCACTCTACCACTGAGTTATAAACCCTAGCCCTATGCCCTCAGATTTTAACACTTACCGTCTTTCTGGCATTGATGCTACCAACACGCTTAGAAAGGCCATGGTTGACATTTGCAAACTCTACAGCTCTTCCTGTCATCTAACACAAGGTCTTCTTACTGTAAAATAAAATGTTATATAGTAAAAGTAAACATATCAACTTTTAATCTCAAATGAAAAATCTAAGACTATTCATAATATAAACACACATGATATTCCAAAGAAAAAGACAGATTTCATTTGCTGCCATTAAAAGGACTACTACACTGTGAAAATAGTGATATAAAGAGAAAAAACAGCATTTATTCACCCTTTTTTGAGTAAAATACTATTTCAAAGTAACAAAATAGTCCCAGATGATGCCGGAAAATTTAAGTCTTTATTCAGGCAACTAACTACTAAAACAATGGAAAATAATAGTAATTACCATTTCATAACACAATTAAGTAGTGATCAAGTATGGTCAATGAAAAGAGAGAAAAGAAGCTCCTATTTTATTTTGTTGTTTTCAATTAAAAGTCGGAACACCCCCTTAGATCAGGTGTTGGTATGAGGACTCTGCCGTCAGGCAAGCGGAGCTCCTCCGCTGCCTCCACTTCCTTTTCCCCTCTAGCTCCCCTCAGCTGACCCATTCCCCAAGCTCCTATGTCTGATCTAGGCTGTTGTTTTTTGAGCTATTCAAAAGAAGACTGAAAACAAAATGAGAACAAAGATAACTGGGAGAAAGAAAAAACCTAGGTTTTACTTTTTATTGTGGTGTGGTTTGGTATGGTTTGCTTTGGTTTAGTTTGGTTGGGTTTTGAGGGGCAGTCCTAGGGACTGAATCCAGGGAGCACTGTTCTGTATCTCTCTCTCATGCTTTAATATTTTAAGAAAAAGATTCTCCAGTTTGCAAGGTTGGCCTTGAATTTGTAATCCTCCTGCTTCAGTCTCCCATGTGCTGTGATTATAGGCCTATAGTTGTTACTTTCACAAATAAATAATAACAAAACCTCAGAAATAAATCAAAACATTTTTAAACCTCCATTACATGAAAAGTTGACAGAAACCAATGATAGCAAAATACTATCCCATAGATTATTTCTAGATGCAAAAAAGAAATGATCGTTCAGATTGTTACCACCTTACCTTGGTAATCAAGATAAAGTTAGAACAGTGGAACTAAATACCACATACCTGTTATCATGAAACAATATGAAGTACTTTTCCAAAATGTTTAACCTAAGTCTACTCACAACTTTCAATTCAACTCCCAGTTGCCAGTCTAGATATTGGGAACCAAGTGAGCACCCACAATGCAGCATGAGGAAAAAACGAGCAATACAAAATAAAGTCTCAACAGAGCTCGCAAGTCAACAGCATGAAGAAGAAGACAGGTGAGTGAAAGGGTGCATGGGTAGAACGGACAAGGTCTATAAAAAATGAGATAGCTAAATGCAACGGGCAGCCCTTGATTGAAACGAATTCTTTTTTTTTAAACAGCAATGAAGGTCACTTTTGGAAAAGTGAGGAAAGCTAAATATGGTATCTGTAGAAGGCACTAGGGAATTATTGATAACTTTGTGAGGAATGATAATGAAAAGTAGAATGTTGGGGCTGGGAATTTAGCTCAGCGCCATAAGTGCCTGCCTTGCAAGCAGGCAGGTCGTGAGTTCAATCCCTGGTACCGGTAAAAACGAAAAAGACCAAAAAAAAAAAAAAGAAAGAAAAGTAGAATGTTGATTGCTAAGGACTGGGAGGAGAGAGAAAAAGAAGTTCAGTGAAATATAGTTTCAGCTTTATAAGATGAAAAAGTTGCACAATAAGATGTAAAGAGTGAACACAACTATCACATACTTAACAGTTAAGATAATAAATTTCATATTATGCACTTTTCATCATAACTTTTTTTAAATATGAAGAGTTTAACAATAAAGAAAAAAATATAGTGACTTAGTAGGGACAGTTATTGATCCAAAAGAGACAGTAAGAAATAGAACAGAGGATATTCAACTCTGATGCCTCCCATGACAGCTGTCTATCTTCTTTCTTTTCCGTCTTTTTTCCAAATAAACTGTCTTACTCTAGCAAAGAAAGAAAAAATAGAACAGAACAGAATGGAATCCTGGGAAATACGGCTGGGGATATACTCAGTGATAGAGCACTTATCTAGCATGGGCAAGACCCTGGGGTCATCCCCAGCACGGAGGGAGGAAAGAAGAGAGATAGACAAGGAGAGAAAGGGTAGGCAAAAGGAAAGTAAAAAACAAGGAAGAGGAGGGAAGGAAAGGGAAAAGGAGAAGGGCAGGGAAATTTAAGAAATGAAGTGAATTCATTCACAATCAGTCAACAACCCTGGTGCCCTGACAAAACAGCTCTACTGGATCTTAACACTCTACTATGTGTTACCTCTACCCTCCCCAAGGACTGTGCCACAGTACACTCACTCCTCTACTCCACAGCTTCCTTCCTCCCAACCAGCACCACCAAAAAAACTGCCAGCCCTTCTTTCTGTCTTTACAAATGACATCAAATAAAAATTTCAGATGCCTACACTGGAAGAATGATCGAAAAATTTTTTTCACTGCACCCAAAATTGACAATGGTTGGGGGAATTCTAACTCAAACCAAATAAACTTGTAATATTTCCTATATAGTATTAGTTGCTTAAAAGTAGCTTATATTCATTGTTTCAACTTCTACTCTCTGTTGACTCTGACTCAATGCAAACATCCCCATCTATAACATCCTTCCTTATCCTCCATTTTACTTTCTGTGATTTCAGATACCTGTGGTTAGTCTCAGTCTGAAAATATTTAATAGAAAACTTCAAAAATAAACAGTCCAGAACCAGGGATACAACTCAGTGGCACAGAGCCTGTCTAGCAAGCATGAGGTCCTGAGTTCAATTCCTGATACCATAAAAAAATAAAAACCAGTCCCTAAGTCCTAAAGTGTGTGCCGCTGAAGGTTACATAAGGAAAAGTACTCTAATATGATGCAGTGGTCCTGATAACTGAAAGGGACACAAAGTGACCAATGGCGGGTACTGCTTACAGAATGGATACGCTGACCAAAGGGATGACCTCTTGGTGGGGAAAGAAGCAGGATGGTACCTGCTGCTTAGAACAGCTTTCTGAGGTTCAGTGAAGAGGGCACAGCAGCCAATGCTTCATCATAATGCCTATGCCAGTCAGCTCACTTCATCTCATCATGTAGCCACTGTTACCTTCCAACATCATCACAAGGTAAATGGTGAGTTCAGGACAGTGTTTTGGAAACCATATTCACATCATTATTATTACAACTGTTCTACTGCATTATTAATTACTACTGCTAATTTCTTACTGTGCCTAATTTGTAAGTTACAGGTCATCACAGACATGTACAGTACTTACAGAAAACAACAGTCTATCTAGGGTCGAGTACTACCTGCCACTTCACACATCCACTCAGGGTCACTGGACAAGGTCTGTGGACCAGGAGGGTCCACTCCTCTGATGTGTCTCTGGCTGCACCTTACTCTCTTTCATGGATCCCTGCTCTCATTCTTTCAGTGTCACTGTTCCCCAGGTTTTGCACCAATCCTCTCACTGCAGTTACTCTTGGTCTCTCCAAATCCATGACCTCAGCACCTGTGACTCCAGCAAAAACCTGTTCAGCACAGTTAACTCCCTGACAGGCACATCTCTACAGCTATTCAGAGGTGCATCAAGCCCAAAAGGCCGGGCAGTGGTGGCAAACCTATGGTACGGTGCCACAGCGGGATTTACCACTGCCAAGTCCTAAAAGATTTGCTGTTGCTTTCAAGCTCAAGTCCTTTGGTAATGCATTTAAGGACTTTTATGACTGGCCTCTCACCAACCCTGGGCCTCCTACTCCCCACACCCCCCGGGCACTTTACTCCACCTGGATTTATCTGCTTCCCTTGCAAGGCAGGGCAACATCACATCTCTGTGCTTCACACACGCTCTGCCCCAAGTCCCTCTACTCATCCCACTGAAGCCATACTGCTTGGCAACAGAGTACGGCTCAATTAATTTTCCTTCAGGAACTTTTTCCATTCTCCCAAAATCTGATTTAGACTGCGCCTTCACTGCACCTTAGGCATACCTTTGTATTTATTTGTTTCAACTACTACTCTGTAAGCATCTCACAGATGTGTCTCATTTAGCAAACAAGCACTCATACTTGTTACATGCCTAGCACAGACCATCTCAAGCCAATGAAGTTCTTCAAAATACTGGATTTGACCATTTCTGCATTTGTATCTATAACATAGAGCATTATCTTCCCCATAAATAAAGTACCTACAAAAATAAACCCATAGAAGGGCACGAGTGTGGGGTTTAGCTCAGCGGCCTAAGTACCTGCTTGGCAAACATGAGGTTATGATCCCTGGCACCAATAAATAAATAAATAAACCCACAGGGTGCAGGGGTTTAGCTCAGTGGAACAAGTGTCTGCCTGGTGTGAGGCTGTGAGTTCAATTCCTGGTACTCCCCCAAAAATTTTTTTAAAAACCCATAATCAAAAGTGTTACAAATTACAACAGGTATTCTTGTCAGCCCAGAACTCATTACCATCCCTATCAGGAGTCAGTTTTCTACTAAGAAGGCCCTGCTAAAAATGGCATCACATGCCCTAGGCTAAACTAAGCAGCATCCCCTCAGCTACAGGAACTGGTCAAGAGAAGGACACATGGCCAAACTGACCTAGTCTCTGATGGAGGCTCTAAGAGGACAAGCCTGTGCTGCCGGGAACTAGGTCCTACTATCTGTAGCTAGAGAAGTAAAGCCCATATGCACGACTATAAGCACAAGAAAGGTCCAACTAGGGGCAAGCTCCCACCCAACGCTTCATGGCAACTTCCGTAACACAAATTGTTAAATGGTCATGTGAATAGCAGTTTTCCTCCCACAGATTATTTCAATCATTTTCACTTCAAAACTCCTACTGAAGAAACAGAATAGAGGAAAATTGGATGTCAAAGGGTATTCATTCTACATTAAGGCTATGAAAGAGCCTACTGTACCTTTCCTGATTTGAAAATTTTCATCCATCAGATAAACTGTATCTTAGCTACCTCTACTAGGTAACTCCCAAAATGACAATTACCTTTTTTAATATATACCATGCA